TCCACCGAGTCCCAAAGCTGCCTACAAAACATCACCAAATAAGCTCAGGCACCTTTAGCTGCCCCCGATAGCCATTCTGCTTTGCACCCCGGAAAATTTTAGAATTTAATATAGAGAGCTCTAGCAAAATAAGGCAGAATGTTTTCCTCCCCTTACGGAGTCCCTTTGGTAGCACAAGAGCTATACTGAAAACAAACAAAGCCTAAGAGGGCAGAGAAGTGAACTGCTGGGGAGTTGGGGAAGGGTGGGCGCTGCCTTTGCAGACTGGTTTATGACGGTTGTGTCTGGAATTTCCGGGAAAAGCGCAGATAGGAAAAAAAAAAAAAAAAAAAAAAAAAAAAAAAAAAAAAAAAAAAAAACAAAAACGTAGTTGCCCCAAGACTTCTGCCCCTACCAGAAGGTCTGGTTCTGCCAACAGTGGCTGCAAATTAGCTTCACTCTGGAAAAGAAACACTGAGACCCAGCTTAGCATCTCATTATTTATTTATTTTTATTTATTTATTTTTTGGTTTCTTCAAGACAGGGTTTCGCTCTAGTTTTAGAACCTGTCCTGGAACTAGCTCTTGTAGACCAGGCTGGCCTCGAACTCTCCAAGATCCGCCTGTCTCTGCCTCCCGAGTGCTGGGGTTAAAGGCGTACACGACCACCACCCTGTTTAGCATCTCATTCCTAAGCACAACCAGCCAACCAGAATCACCAAGCAAGGAAGGGTGAGGAAATAAGAGTCAGAAGAACCAAGGCAATAAAGGAAGCAAAAGAATAAGAACAGTAATTGAAATCAGTTGGTAGTGGCACAGGCCTTTAATGATAGCACTTGGGAGGGAGGCAGAGGTAAGCCAATCTCTGAGTTGCTGGTCTACAAGAGCTAGTTCCAGGACAGCTAGGAATGTTACAGAGAAACCTTGTCTTGAAAGACAAAACAAAACAAAACAAACAAACAAACCTGAGAAAGCAGTATAATCAAAGATACCCAAAAGATGTTGCAACCCAAAAAACAAGAATATAAAGACCACCAACTGAGCTGGGCGGTGGTGTCACACGCCTTTAATCCTACTCTGCAGAGTGAGTTCCAGGACAGGCTCCAAAGCTATACAGAGAAACCCTGTCTCAAAAAAGAGACCACTGACTGAAATTTCTTCCAAAGAAAAAAATGAAAATGGCCCAAAGGTGATGGCGACACACACATTAATCCCAGTACTCAGGAGGCAGAAACAGGTAGGTCTCTAAATTCAAGGCCACTCTAGTCTACAGAGTGAGTTTCAGGGCAGCCAAGAAACCCTGTCTTGAAAAACTAAAAGCAAATATGAAAACAAGCAAGTTAATAGATTGGAAAATAAAGTTGACCTGAATGTGGTGGCACATACCTTTGTCCCAGCGCTCAGACTCAGGGCAAGAGCAAGGCGGATCTCTGTAAACTGGATACCATCCTAGTCTTCCTTTCCAAGTTGTTTAGCTCTGATAGCCAGATATTAAATAGATCCTATCTCAGCCAAGTGAGGGCAGTGGTGGCACACCTCTTTAATCCCAGCATTTAGGAGGTAGAGGCAGGTGGAACCCTTGAGTTTGAGGACAGCCTGGTCTACAGAGCAAGTTCCAGGACAGCCAAGGTTATTTACACAGAGAAACCCTGTCTTGAAAAACCAAAATTAAAAAAAAAAAAAAGAAAAGAAAAAGAAAGAAAACAAAACAAAGTTGAAAAGTCCCCCCCCCCCAAAAAAAATAGAAACTGTAATCACATTGGTCAGTATTCTCCAAGATTTAAAACAAGATGGGCCTACCAGAACCTCTGAAAATGGTGCAATCCCCAGCCCAGGGTGTTGAGTAGGCTGGATCTTACCACCAGGGAACCACCAGGGGTTCCACCAGGTTCCACCAGGGGGAACCTCAGGCACCACCCTCTTGTGGTAGCTTCCATTGATACTAACGTACAACACTTTTCAGAAAGGTCTTTCGCAAGCTGCTAAAACCTCTAAATTCACTGAGATGTTGAATTTGTCTTCTTTAGAAGAACTAGCCAGAAGAGACTGCATGGTGACAGCATTTGACGGCTTCAGCTATCTTTTTTTTTTTTTTTTTTTTTTTTTTTTTTTTTTTTTTTTTTTTTTTTTNTGGTTTTTCGAGACAGGGTTTCTCTGTGGCTTTGGAGCCTGTCCTGGAACTAGCTCTGTAGACCATGCTGGTCTCGAACTCACAGAGATCCGCCTGCCTCTGCCTCCCGAGTGCTGGGATTAAAAGCGTGCGCCACCACCGCCCGGCCGGCTTCAGCTATCTTATGAGTCAGCAAAGAGCTAATGATTTAGCAAAAACAGCTTCTGAATGCCTGCTCCACACATGGCCCAGCATCTGGTTGCCCCCACTCGGATTTTCCTGTCCTTGCTTTACTTTCACTCCGAAGAACCTGTATTCACTTATAATGGCATGGTCCAGCCTGTAAACACCACTGTTTCAGAGGTAGCTGAATTAGGTTTTCTGTTTTTTTTCCCCAGACTGGGTTTCTCTGTGCGTCTCAGGGTTTCTCTGTGCGTCCCAGGGTTTCTCCGTGTGTCCCAGGCTGTCGTGGAACTAGACCATAGACCAGGCTGGCCTCCAACTCAGAGATCTTCCTGCCTCTGCTTCCCAAGTACTGAGATTAAAGGTGTGTACAACCACCATCCAGCTTGGACCAGGTTCTTAGAGTTACCAATGGGGAATGTCCCTCTCCTGAGTCCTACGCATGTAAAATACCTGAACCTCACAATTTCACAGAATTGCTTTTGAAAATAAGTCTTGTCTCCCTGCTCTACCAGAAGCCACCCTGGCAGGCGGAAGCCCAGATCAGCGCCTATTCCAATTGTCATCAGAGAGGCCTTCCTTAGCAGCAGATGGGAGGCGATGCAGAAACCCAAAGACAAACACTCAGCAGAGAGAGTGCCCAGATTGGAGATCTCCATCAGGCTCCTCCCCTTGGAATCTGGGAAATGCCTGAGGAAGAGGGAGAAGAAGAGACCAGAGGAGGTGGAGGACACCAGGAGAACATGGCCCACAGAATCAACTAAGTAGGACTCCTAAGGGCTCAAGGAGACTGAAGCATCCATCACAGAACCTGCATGGGTCTGCACTAGGTCCTCTGCATATATGTTATGGTTATTAGCTTGGTGTTTTTGTGGGACTCATATAACAGTGGGAATAGGGGTGTCTCTGACGCTTTTTGCCTGTTCTTGGGACCTTTTTCTCTTACTGGGTTGCCTCACCTAGCCCTTATATGAGGGTTTGTACCTAGTCTTACTGTATCTTGTTATGCAGTGTTCCAGAGATATCCCCAGAGGCCTGTGCTTTTCTGAAGGGAAACGGAAGAGTGGTGGATCTGGAGGGCTGGGGAGATTAGAAGGAGGGAAGAGGAAAACAGCAGTGTTGGGATATATTGAAAAAAAAAAGAAGTCTTCACTTCTGCCCTTAAGCCCTTTCATGATGAGCTCATGCATCCGTGTGTATACACATAAACACATGATAAATAAATGTAAAACAATAGGGACTACAAATATACATCTCAATAATTTATCTAGGAAATAGAGAAATCAATGAACAATTTGCTAAAATGTCATTTTTCTTTTTTTTTTTTTTTTTTTTGTTTACAGTGGTGAATTCCTGATAATTTCCAAAACACTGGGCAAAGAACGGGCAGGAGAAACAGAAGCGCTCTTACAGAAAAGGTCAGAACTCAGAAGCATCGCAATTCCTGGAACTAGAAGAATGTAACCTGACACCCTTGAATCTTGAGAAGAAAGGATTCTCAGCTAAGCAAACTTCTTGTACCCTGGTACATTTTCAATCATGTATAAGACTAGAATAAGGACAAACAGACAAAGGTTCCATAATTTCCAATATATTTTTCTCGGACAGTTTGAAGGCTGTTTCTTTTCAGGTGCCATAAATGAAGGAAGAAGAACGCATGGGCCCAGAGAGAAGAGTATGCCATAGAATCCTGGTGCAGGGCAACACATGCTGCTACCTGAACTACAACACAGGACAAGAGAACAGCAGAGAGCCTGTAAAAGGAGAAACAGTGGCCGGTCGTACTTGGTCCTAAATATTGAGAGGACTCCAGTGATGAATTAATGGCAAACACAAAGCTAAGGCTAAGGGGAAGAGCTGGTGAGAGGTTCAGCAGGCGAGGGGCTCGGCACCAAGCCTGATAAAGTGGGTTCAATTGAACCCACATGGTGGAAAGAAAACAAACTCCCACAGATTGCCCTCTGACCTTCTTCTGTGCTATGGTACACACACACACACACACACACACACACACACAGACAAATGAATGCTTTTAAAAAAACGAAGCAAAAAAAAAAAAAGAAAATTATTAACTTCAGAGAAAACAAAAAATTGTGCAAGAAAGAAACTATAGCTTGGGACACCTTGTTCCTTGCTGAGACCGGCACTAATTAGACTGATACTCAGACAGCTCTGATGTCCATCAGACTCATAGGATGCTGGCTCAGAGGGTGGGCAGGTGACTAGCCTGACAAGTTGCCATGTGGGAACACCTAACATATAAAAAGCAATAAACAGGACCCAAAGCATGCTAGTGGCATAGCATGGTGGCACACACTTTTAATCCCAGCACTGGGGAGTCTGAGACAGGTAGTTCTCTGAGTTTGAGGCAGGCTTGGTCTATGGAGTGAGCTCCAGGCTGAGGCTAAGAGACTGAAATTTGTGGGAAATCAGGGCAGAAGATTGTACTTGCTTTTTACTATTGACCCTGTGTCCCCAACAATTCAACTTCTAAAACAATATGCAGTAAGGCACGGTGGCTCACACCTATAAACACTGCACAGGCCAGGTCTGGATACTGAGTTCCAGGCAAGCCAGGCAACCTAGCAAAACTGTATCTTATCTCTAGAGATAGAGATAAGCTGAACAGAGACAAGATAAAGTACAGCACAGACGCCTTTGAGTTCAATTTAATCACGTGTACAGTCTGTTACGAATTTTCCAAATAAACTATGTCAGACCATGCATAATCAGTGTTCATTCCGTTTATTAGCTGTCCCATGACAGATTTGCTTTATTTTAGGTTTTGGTTTTGGTTAAGATGGTATGGTAGGCAACACAGCAACACCCCCACCCTGCGTGTGCCCACGTCCATTCTCTTAAGCACCAAACCCCAGGATGATTAGTCTCGGTAGCAAAAGGTGCTCTGTAGGTGTGATTCAGCTACAGGCCCTGAGGGGGTATCATCCTAGATTATCTAGGTGGGTCCAACCTACTCACAAAAGGCCCCAACCTTCCAGGCAGTGGAAAACCAGACAGCTAGTCCATGACACACATTCAACCTGACGCTGCTGGTCTTGAAGGTGGAAGGAGAATTAAGAAAAGTTGGTGGCTTCTAGAAGCTGAGAAGGGTTCTTAGTTGGCAGCTGTAAAAAAGTAGGAATTTCTGCCTTACCACGGCAAGGAAGTGAATTCTACCAGTAGCTTGAAGGAGCAGGAGGTGAGCCCCATCCCCACTCTACATCCCTCTTCCAGAAAGGAGTTCAGTCACAGATGACTGGGTTTTAATCTAGTGGGAGCCTGTATCAAACTTCTGATGTACAGAACTGTATTAGTGTTGTCTCAAGCCACTGGGTTTGTGACAAACGTGACAGCAGCAATGTGGAACTATTAATAATACAGTAGTGTCTTTCCTGATTTCATATATGAAGAACTATTTAAGAAGGAACTTGAGTGCATTAAATTTATACATACATTTAAAAAACATTTAAGACTTTAAATTTGAAGTTGGAAGACAGGCAGTTCAAGAATGAAGAACAGAAAGATCCTGCTGATCCTGCTGGAGGACTCTGGGGAGGACACAGGTCCTGATCTCAAGTGTGTGGAAGATCAGTGAGAGGGGGCTCAGGACAGGTATGCATGGGATTGGGATTGCTCTGGGTGGGACCAGGGATCCAACTCCAAGCTCTCTAGCCTCTGAGTCTCCAGCCAAGTCTGGTCTGCCTGATGCCCAGTATTGCATTTGACACCTGAAGGGGCTCTATTACTTTTGAGTTCAAGCTCCTTCCCTAGGTTTCTATGTCACCTGAATGTATGGCTGTTGTCCAATACCAGATGGGGAAGTTCCCCTAAATGACCTGTATCCTCTACTCCCATTCAGGCTTGGGACTCCATCACCACCCCAGGACCCACACTGCTGCAGAAAGCTGGGGGGGGAGGGGTCTTCACTAGCAGGGCCTGTGTTCATTGGCTCCAGGAAACACAGGCAGAAGGCAGCTCTGAGCAGTATGGCGCTCTTTGCCAAGTGGACAACCCTGAGCCCTGGTATCCCTGCTGGGCTGCCAGGACTGGGAAGGTCAAGCCTGTGTCCCACGGTACTTGAGAAAGGTGGTCTCCAGGAAGGCTGCTAGCTTTGTCCGGTCGTCCTGCAGTGGATGGGTAGGGGACATGGGAGTCGTGGGCAGCTCATGCCACCCTGCACCTTTCCAAACCTGCAGTGCACCCCGCCTACCTCGTGCAGGAAGCCGTAATGCACTAGTTCCGCAGCGAGGTCCTGGGCACTGTCGGCTGAAGAGAGGACAAGTGAGTGGTGGCACCAGCCAGCGCCCGCCCGAGCCCCAGGCCGCCACCTGGTCCCCTGTCAGCCTACTTGGGAGCAGGTCATAGGTCAGCTGCCGATGCAGGCGGTCCTCCAGCACCAAAAGCAGAGTGAGCTGTGGATGCAATGGCATGGTCAGCACACCAGCACAGATTCCTCCCCAGCCCCCGTAGCCCTGCCCAGCACCCTTGCTCACGTGCCACCGAGCCTTGTCCTCGCTTCTCTCCAAGTTGCACTGCATCTGGACCACCTGAGGGCAGGGAAGTTACATTAGCCACTCAGGACCGCTTAGCAAAGGAACCCAGAAAGATCAGCAGAGATTCAAAAACACTAAGCATCTCCAAGGGACGCCCAGAAAGCTCATCCCATTGCACCAGCACTGAGGTGTCAGCGAAGGCTTGGGTTTGAGTACTGAGTGAACAGAATGCCTTGAAAAGGGTGGGGGAGGGGAAATGCTGTGTCCCAGGACATACTGCACAGAAAAGCAAGATGCCAGGAGGCCAGGAGGCTGGGGCTCACAATGCCTTCTAGTCACTCTCTGGGCAGCCAGGATCCAGGACACTTTGACTACTGGCATTTGAACTTAGGGTGCACTGTGGAAGGAAGGAAGGTGATGGCTCTGGGTCCTGCTGAGGAATGGACATGGCCAAAGCCTCCGGAATGGGGTGTGCAACAGGACGGGGAAAGGGCTGCAAAAGCAAGAAGCCTTGGGGAAATGGGTGTCTCAGCTTGATTACAGTGTCCATAAAGCGGTCAGCTTGGGTTTGGTCTCTGGCAGTCTGGAGGAGAAATGGGATGGGGAGACAGAGCCTACCCCCCCCCCCCCGAGAAAGGCACCCATTATCTGGCTGTGGACAGTTCTGAAAGACAGCACAGTTCAACAGAAGTCAGGACTCACCTTCCTGGTCTCTGAGTCAAAGGGTTCCGGCGTTGGGGTCTTGACCTTCTGGGCCTCCTCTGGGGGTGGAGCTAATACACGGGGAAGTCCCAGGGGCCGGGCAGCCGCAAAATTCATCAGTGGGTAGATCCCATTCCTGGAGATACACCAGCGGGTATATAGCTGGGGGCTCAGGCCTGACAGTGATTTTCCTCAGTCTCATGCCAGCTCTCACCTGACATCCTCTAGGAATTTGTCCAGCTCCAAGAAGGAGACCTCTGAGTACCTAGAATGGAGTGGGTGGTACATGAGCGGTGTCAGGCTAAAGGCTAGCCAGGCAGCTAGTAGGGAAACCTTATGTGGTCACTGCTCACCGCCACTGCATTGGGGGTCCATGGGGCTGGGGCATCTCAGCCAGGACGGCGTGCAGGTCCATTGCCTTGGTCTTTTCCTCTACCACATTTTCCGGCATGAGGTCTGTGAATCACAAAACATGCTCAGGGAGACGGACCCAAGCCAAGGGTCCTGCAAAGACCCTGCCACGTTCTGACCCCAGGCTCCTGGCCCACCCTAGCCCTTGTGCCCCTCACACTGATGCTGGATGAAGCAGTGGGCTGCCAGCAGCTTCAGCGAATGCACCTCGAAGAGCACTCGGTGGAAAAGGAGGTTGTGGGCAGAGGGCCGGCGGGCAGGGTCCCGGGCCAGGCAGGAAAGGATGAATTCCTAGGTGGTGGAGAGGAAAGGTGGGAGGTGGGTGGAAGATCCTTGCTCTAGAGAGGTCCCTGAAGACCCTAGACCCCATGGGTCCAATCATCACATCCTCCCTCCTCAGTGGTGCTGCAAAGCCTTCCTGTATGGATGCAGAGAAGAGGAAGGCTTCCCATTAGCAGCTCAGGATCTGATGCTGTAAACTTGGGCCGAATACCCATGCTCTACTTCCAGTCACCCTTGTGAAATCTGAGTCCTAGGAGCCTTTCTTCCAGGTAGGCCTTAGTGCAGCAGCTGGTATACTCCCAAACGCACTGATTAGACTAGACTTCCAACTGTCCAGAGCACTTCAAGGGCAAGCTGAGGCACCTGCAGCCCATCCCAGAAGAGCAAGGTAAGCTCCTCACCCGCATGTTGGGGTCACTCAGTGAGTGCCTGGCTCGAGCAATAGCCTCCTCGGTGACCCTGGTATCCCCATTGGCTTGGATTTCCAGTACAGCCATCTGGGTAGAGGGACAGATCAAACATGGTGAGATGGGTTGGAGCCCAGAGGAGAAGAGGCTATGTCGAGAGTGGCCAGTACCTCCAGTGCACACATCCCAAAGGAGAAGATGTCCACTGCAGTCCCATCATTGACCTCTGAAATGGGAAGAACAAGGCAGGGTTGGTCAGTCTGATGTGCCAGCAGGTCAGGTGCCCTAGAGACCCATAAGGGACTCACCGCCATACTCTGGTGGGAAAAAGTGCAGGTTTCGAAGTTCCTCCCGCTCAGCGCGGATGGGGCTCCGGAGATCATCAGGAAGTGCTAAGGAAGAGCGCGGGGCTGAGCAGATCAGTTTCTCCAAGGTCCCCACACCCCAGAGGCCCCACGCACCATTGGAGAAGATGCGGTACCACACTGCAATGGCCAACACGGAGAGAAAGAGCAGGCGTCAGAAGGCTGGCACACTGGGCAATCTCTGCCCTGGGTTCCCGCAGGTTCCCCAACCCTCCCTCCCCCTGTCCCGCCCAGCCTCGCCAGCACCAGAGCCGATCTTGATGAGGCCATTGTGCTGAATGAAGATGGTGTCGCTGGTCAGATTCCCGTGGATGATGGGGGGACTGCAGGCGTGCAAAAAACTGCAAGCATAGAGGAAGGGAGGCAGGAAGAACCGGGTCAGAGGGCACCGGAAAGGTGCAGAGCAGGGGACAAGCGCGTGGGCAAGTCCGGGTTCTCACCTGAGTGCCGACAGGATCTGCGTACACCAACGCTTCCAGGCCTGGCAGCGGACGCACGACTCCGTCGGGTGGGCACCGAAAGGCTGCTGAGCCTGCGGAGCCCGCCCGCTACCCCGCTCCTGTCCCGAGGTCACTCTGAACCCCCCACCCCACTACTGTCCCTAAGTTTTTTGGACTCCCTTCAGTCCCTAGCCCACTCCCCATACCCGGGCGTTCATGGCCTTGTGATTCTTCTTGGTCTTTTTGAGGAACTGCTTGAGGCTGCCAGACGACACGTATTCTGTGATGAAGATGACCTGCGGGCAGGCGGGCTCCGCCGTTGCGGGTGGGTCCCCATGCTGCCCCACCCAGCCTGTGGCTTCACTCCGCCCTACACCCGCCCCTAGCTCACCCTCGCGCGGGCCTCAGAGGCGTCCAGCCAATACTTGTGCAGCTTGACGATGTTGGGGTGGTCCACCAGCGCCAGCTGCTCAAACATGGTCTGGATCTTCTCCTAGGGAAGGAGGATGGTCGTGGGGGCAATCACGATATGGAGCAAAGGGGGTATGAACAGGCCTCACCTCATGGGCCGAAAAGGCCTTCCTATCCCCGAAGTGGAGTTCGTTCCACACCACTTCTACCCCCTCTTCGGTGTCCATGGCCAGAAAGGTGCTCTGAATCCCCGGCATGTTTCCTTGGTTCACCTAGGTGGGAAGGATGTGTGTCCCAATACGAATAGAGTCAGGGTGTGGACGAGGTCCCTGCCACCTTCCCCCAACCATGAATGTGCTGCCAGCCCTGTCCAGTTCAGAGGGAGAGCTGGGGGTAGGTGAGGCTGGGGATCTACCCTCTAGGAGGATAGGGGTGGTGTCCAGGGGTGGACCAGGATGTGAAGCTTGAGGACGATCCCCGGAGGGGTAGCAGGGGATCCAAGAGGCACGTGGAGGTGGTTCCAGGATGACAGTGGTGTTCAAGGAACGGGGGTTTCTCACCAGGGCGTGGGGCCAAAGGGCTCCGAGGGCCTCCAGAGGCCAGGGTGTCAGGGGAGACCATCAGGCTGCCCGGACCCCAAGGGCCCCATGGCCTCCAGCCTTAGGCTTCGGGACGGCGGCGTCACCCGCACCCGTGCCCACCTGCTCCCGCCGCTTCTGCCAGCGGCCACACGGGCTCTCCTCCAGGATGTCGCTCTCGTCCTCGCTCTCGTCCTCCCGCTCCCGCTCGCGCTCCCGGCCTCGCCTTGGCGCCGGCTCCGGGGCCGCCATGGCTCGGCGGGCCCAGGCCGCCGCCCTCCGCGCAAGTCGTCGCCCCGCTCCCGCCCGCCCTGGCCCAGCGCCCGGCAGCCCAACCTGGAGCCCAGCGGAGCAGCCGCCGCTAGCCCTCCTCGGCTCCGGGAATTGGGAGGTGCGGGCTCGCAGCGGACCCGAGGGAGGAGCGGCCCCGCCCCTCCGGAGCCGCCTCTGCGGGCCGGTGCCGGAGTGTAGCTCGACCAAGGGCGGCAGAGCCCCGCCCCGGACACGCCCCATCCACCCAGACCACTCCTGCTCCTCCAAAAGCTCCGCCCCGAAGAGACGCGCCCCTCAAAGGCACCGCCTATTCCTGAGGAGGCCTCTCCTAGGCTACCCCGGGCAGCTGTGCTCTCCCTGCGCAGCGCGCCTTGGCTGGCCTCCTCCGGAACCACTCTGGCCAACTGTTGGGGCCAGTTCTTGCACTGCATCCCGATCCTGCTCCTATCACACACGTCCGAACTCGGCCCGACGTAGAGAGCCTGAATGGGGCAGTAAGGGTCAAGGGCATCTGGGGGCAGGCACTTAAGTGGCAGGAGGCCATATGGTTTCAGAAACGGGGCCAGCTCTCCCCTCCGGTAGCCAGGGAAACACAAAGAGAGCACCACTAAAGGTGGCGGATGAGCACACCAGCACACTGGAAAACTGACAGGATGCACTTCAAATCCTGACCACCTGTCTCCCCCCGGCCCAGAATTCCAGCCTTCTCTGTCAGTGAATAAGCCCACTTTGCATAATGGCGAGTTCCTCTTCTCTCCCCAGATGTGACCCTCTCCTTTCCACTATGAGCTCCCTTGAAGCAGTGGAACCACGAAGAGGGAGCATTTCTCACTTGCCACATTCAGCAGAATTCCCTAGAAACCTTTACCCACCCTCTGTGCCCTCACCCTCACAAGCCCCTCCCACCCACCTTCACCGCCCCTTGCCATAGGGAGACCATAGCCTGCCTGCCCTCCGATTTAAACCCCCAGCTGGATCCTGACCAGCTCTGCTCGCTCTGCTCCTGACTTCTATCATCGCCTGCTCAGAATGCTGCAGCTTGCCCTGGTGGCCTACCCAGCCTAACCTGAGCAGGGCTGGCCACAGAAACCAGAGTAGGGCCAAAGCTTGGAAGACAATTCCCAAGTCCCTAGATCCCCCTACTTATATCTTATTAACCAGTGCCATAGCCACCCCGGAGAGTCTGAACTAAGAAAGAAAATGATGAGGAGCCCTGCACCACAGTGTTAGCAGAGTCTCTTGAGGGTTCAGAGACTGCAGACAGGATCCAATGAAAAACCCACAACACTGAAGGTTCATCGGTTAAGAGTACTTCTGCTCCTACAGAGGACCCAAGTTCAGTTCCTACCACCTACAAGACCATTCACAGCTACCTGTTACTCCAGGGGATCTGATGCCCTCTTCTGGTTTCCATGGTACCCAGCACACACAGTGACTACATGTATGCAGTCGCTCACTATTACATGCATATAAAATAAATCTTAACATGCCACAGCACCAAGACTAGTGGCGTGCATACATTATTGCTAGCAGAAATGCATGCTGTCTAAGAACCATTGGGGAGAGGGCATCTGAATACCCTCACAGGCTTCCCCTAGGCTCCTTCCCACATGACCTCTGCCAATGTGTTTTTGGTTTTTTGTTTGTTTGTTTGGGTTTGTTTTGGTTTTTGGTTGGTTTGGTTTTTCGAGACAGAGTCTCTCTGTGTAACAGCTTTGATTGTTGTAAAACTCACTCTGTAGACCAGTCTTGCCTTGAACTCACAGAGATCTGCCTACCTCTGCCTCCCAAAGGCTGGAATTAAAAGTGTGCCCCACTATGCCCAGTTTCACCACTGGTTTTCATATGCAGCCTGTGTGGTGACCAAACCCTCCCTGGGCTCTGACTGTTTGCAGGACTTGGCAGCCTCATCCCTGTGGGCTCTTTGCTCTGACTGTGTCTTATGCATCCTCTGAGTCTGCCTCCTTCCGGTCTTGACTCTGGGGTCACATCTCAGACAAGACTTTCCTGGGCTCCATTCTTGCACACCCACTTTCCTCCCTAGCCTCACAATTTTTTCCATGACCTTTGACACTTGACCTGCATGTGTTTGCCTGCTTCATCTGAATGTGGTAGAGTCTCTGCTCTTGGCGCCAAGGACAGCATTCATTACACACTAGGCCCTCATGGATGCTACAATGTGAGGATGTATGAAGGGTTAGGTGGGTGGTTCCAAGAGACCCTCGAAGTGACAACATTTGAGCTGCACATCAGTGCACATTCTTTCCCCTTTATGCCCTCTAACCGGTCCCAGATCAAACAGATGTGTGCAACCCAACCTAGTGCCTGGGAAGTGACATTATTTGAGACAACTCTCATTGGATTTAGGGAGGGCTCTGGAATCCAACATTGAGCATGGAGCTGAAACCGGAGGTATGTTCTTGGTCACCTTCCTCAACCACTGTCCCAGATCCAGTTGCCTTCCAGTCCCTGCCTCCACTCCTGTCCTTCTTCACATTCTGCCAAGTCCTTGCTATTTATCAGATGTCCTCTGGGTTTATCCCTTTGCTGTGGAACAATCTTTGTACATTATGAATATGTATTACTCTCATTGGCTAAGAAAGAGTTCACTGGCCTATAGGTGAACAGGAGAAGGTTAGGCAGGAAAACCAGACTAAGAGGATGCTGGGATGAAGAACGGCCCAGTCAGAGGAGCCATCAGCCAGATGGAGAACAAGCCGGACACACAAAATGGGATAGAGGTAAAAGCCACGAGCTTTGGGGCAGCACATAGATTAATAGAAATGGGTTGAGTTCTAAGAACTAATTAGTAACAAGCCTGAGCTATTGGCTGAGCATTTGTATTTTATATTAGGTCTCCGAGTCACTTATTGGGAAATGGCTGCCAGTTATTTGGGAGTAGGCAGTTGGGACAGAGAAACTCTGCTTACACCCTTCTCAGAAATTCTCTACCCCTTGACATCTTGCCCAGTGCTTTAGCACCTAGTGCTTTTTTTCCTGCCTCTTGTGTATCTACCATGATACACAAAGAAATCCTTGGATTTCTTAAGGGTCTCTCTGAGCCTCTCCCAACTGTAGGGTAGGCAGGTGATCTAGTTTCATAATTCCTGGCTGCTCCTTTCCCCCTGCCAGGTGGCTCTCAGGGCTTGGACAGGTATTCCCAGAGGTCCAGCAATCCAGGTAGACAGAGAGGAGGCCTGGAGGCCCCTTGCCTTACCCTGCCTCCTGGCTTTGTTCTCTTAGGCAGTATCCTCCAGAAGAGCAAACTGGATTTGGAAACTTGCCTCTAAGACCAGGGGAAAAGCGGTGGCGAGAGACTGTCCCCTTTGGGATGGGTGGTGAGACTGTGGCTTCCATTCTTGCCCCAAGGAAGCCGACATTGATCTGCTGAGCGCCTCTGGGGAGCTCCATGTGGCAGGAAACTTCCTGATAATGGTCAGTGAGGACAAACCACTTTCCCTGGGACTTCTCAAGTTTGGAAAAGGTTCCTAGTGAGTGTTTGAAAGCCACCGGCTAAGAAAAAAAAAAGATCAGCTGTCTTAAGGGATTTCAGGAGGATAAGCATCTATTGAATCATTACTTACTACTAAGAAACAGAGGCAGCAGTGTTAAACAGAAGCCGTGGATGCTACGGCCAAGTGCGTCTCAAAGCCCTCAGTGATGGAACCCCACTACACCCGTCAACTTGCCTTCAAGAATGACTTGGATGCTTGCATATTTATTAAACAAAATTTACCGAAAAGATCAAATTGCACTTGATTGATAGAACAGTAGAAGCAAATAAATATGAAGGCGGGTGGTGGGCACACCTCTCAGTGGATGCGCTTCAAACTCTGTGGAATGTCGGCAGTCCCAGCATTCATAGCGCAGGAGACGCTCAGTGCTGTTCAGCTGCATTTAGAGGAGTTGGAGGGAGACTGATGGGAAGATACAAGTTATTTCTCTTCTTGAGATGACTTACGAGATGCCACAGGAAAGTTCTATTTATTTTAACTTGTATAACAAGTGACACAATGTAGCTTTTCCTTCTCTTTGAACGAGAGAGAAGTTATATTGTTTATTTGAGCTGTCCTAACAGATTCCACAGACCCGGTGACTTGAACACCAGAAATTAATTTTCTTATACCCCAGGGCTAGAAATCCAAGACCACAGTGGGGCAGCTCTTCCCTTGATAATGTGGACCAAATCTCCTCCCCGTGTCCTTGAACAGTTATCTGTCTGTAAGTGACTGAGTCTTAACTTTTTTCCTTTTTTTTTTTTAAGAAAGATGTATTTATTTCACGGTGTTTTGAGAGGGTTTTGAATGCATGTCTGCATGTGCTGTGTGCATGGGGTGTTCAGGGAGGTCAGAAGAGGGTGTGGGGTTATGGAATTGTCTCTATATGGGTTCCAGAGCAAGTTGTTTGTAACTTTTTTGTTTTGCTTTTTTGAGACATGTTTCTCTATAGCTTTGGAACCTGTCCTGGAACTAGCTCTTGTAGACAAGGCTGTCCGGAACTCACAGAGATCCGCCTGCCTCTGCTTCCTGAGTGCTGGAATTAAAGGTGCGTGCCACCACCACTCAACATGTTTGTAACTTGGAATGTCTGGAGCCACATGAGCTAAACTCAAAATGTTATTTTCTAAAGACCACCAGTGGTGGGAGTATGTTTAAGTAGGGGAGTTGGTATACCTATTTCTACTCCTGGGTCCTGAGATTATTAGTGTGAGCCACCACATACAGCCCTCGGGTTTAAAGAGCTGATGGGGGAGGGTCTCTTACTCCAAGATAATCGGATACCTAAGAAGCCCAGCTTCTTCTGGGTCCATTACAGTTAAAATTGTTGTAAATGTGACTTGTGGGAGGTCCCTGGGACATAGGAATTAGGTGTCTCCTGAGCCCCAGTGTCTCAGCCCTGGTGTGGGAGGAAGCTCATACGTGTGCTTTGCTATGAAGCCATCGGTCCCCATCTAGGCCCTGCATCAGATGAATCAGCTCCTACCCCAGCCTCCGCCACACAAGGGAACCTAGAGGGGTTTACCCAACAGAGAGCATACTCCTCTTTCTCACATCCTCCTTGCCCCAGGTATGCTCTGCTCAGTCTGGGTGGAGCGAGGGAAAGAGGCCAGGCATTGGACTGCCCCAATCTGTCCTTCATGTCACCAGGAAAAAGGAATAAATGAATAAATAGTGTGATGGTATGTTGGCAGCCGGACAAGAAGTCATGTCTGACCTACAGGGAATAAAGCAAGCAGAACCCGCTTAATACCTGGCATTCAGCCTTTAACCTTCTGTGAAAATCTCTCTCTCCCCCTCCCCCCTCTCTCCTTTCCTTTCCTTCCCTTTCTCTCTCCCTTTTCCTCCCTCCCTCCCTCTCTTTGTGTGCTCATGTGTGTGTGTGTGTGTGTGTGGTGTTTTGTTGTTGTTTTGTACTCAAACTCATGGTCTTCCTGCCTCAACTTCTGGTGCTGAGCTAGAAGGATGCCTTGGGCTGACTTTTTTGGGGGGCCTTCTATTAAATTAAGAAGGGAAGAGCTACAAGCATGTTAAAAAGCTGTTCTTTGGCACTATCATTGCAGACGTTTTGGGATCCCTTCCAGGATACCCTGGACTTGTACACAAGGCCACTCTGGAGCCAAGTGCTGTTATTATCCTCCTTCAACCAAAAAGGAAGAAAAAGGAAACTGGAGATCAGGAACTGGCAGAAGAGCAGGTGGATGGTGGTCCTGGGAGTTGAAGGCAGCAGCGGAAGCGTGGAGCCTGGCTTCACTCTTTCTGGAAGCCACGGTCAGTCTGTGACACAGGTGTCTACAGCTGGGAGACATTTTAAGGGATCTCAGAATTAGATTTGCTTTGAAGAGTGGCAAGCACAGAGACTAGCAGGTGCACAGGGGGGCTGCTGCGCCTCTTGAATTCTGACCACAGTCACCCCTTCTCCCTTTCGGACACAGCATGCTGCCCTCTGACTGTTCCAGAACACTCGTGCCTACTTGTTAGCACAGTCAGAAGCTACTGGGCACAGACAGCAGAGGTGGGCTACTAGCATGCACTGTCCAAAGCTCGATTGCCTCTCAGGACCACGAATTTGCTAGCACAGGATATAACCAGAGACAGCCTTGCAGTGGCAGACAAGAGCTTGCTGGGTGAGGATGTAGCCTGTACTGGATGCTCACAAGTTTGCAGCCAGTCACTGGACCCTGGCAGGTCATTACTTTCCAAGTCAGAATAGTAATCACTGAGTTCCCCATGCCTGACCAAGACAGAGGAATGGGCCTCAGCTAATGTCTCTGGGTAGAACATGAACAGCTACCTCTTTGGGGAAACTGGGGGACTGGAATGCTCACAGTGGTGCCTGGATGGGAACATCAGATCAAAGAACAGTTGGTACGGTGGCGAGTCTGCTCGGTTACTCTTCTGTTGTTTCTATGGCCTTGATTGGAGGATGGTAGAGTCTCAGCATGGCAGTGGGAATGGCAAGTTAAGGTCCCACAAGAAATGTACTCATTCTTCTGTAAGCTCTTACCCAGAGGTTCTCAACCTGGGGTCACAACCCCTTTGGGGTCACATATCACATTTTTACATTATGGTTCATAACAGTAGCAAAATGGCAGTTGTAACACAGCGATGAAACTATTTTATGGTCAGGGCAGCATTAGGAACATTGAGAACCACTATATCTAGAGTATAACAGGAATCCCCATTTCCTTCATTTTTCTCCACCCTGAGGTGTTGGCATGGGTGTCATTATAAGGACCTAAGAGCCTTTAAAACCTTTACCTTTGTGGAGAGGGGATTCAGGCACCAAGTCCTGGTAGGCATAGCAGTGCGGCAGGGCCCCTCTTTCCTCTGGCTGTTTTGCTCTGAGCATGGTTATATGGACTTGGTGGGCAGCACAGGGAATCAAAAGGTGGGCTTCTAAATGGAGGGTCACAAGAGTACCTCTGGTGACCAGAGTATGTGGGGGTCCAAGAAACCTAGCTGGAGCTAGAGGAGGGGCCCTCTGCTCTTCACACAGTTCACCCAAGCCTCAGAATCACTTCCAAACTGAGGGGCACCCATGAAGAAAGTGTCCCCACAGTACAGCAAAAGCTTCAAAAGGGAATGGGTACTAAGACCACCAGCTCAGTAGGTGGACATCACCCCCGGACCAAACCTAACCAGAAGGAGGGCCAGCTGCACAAAAGGCCAACATGGACACAGTACACAGGACACAGGTGGTCATGAAAATATACAAGATAAACAACAACAAAATGGCTCTACATTCTAAGTGCTGGAATGAGTGGGAGGGTCTGCAGAGAGAAGCTGTGATAGTTCAGGAACTAGAATTATCAGGAGAAAGTCCAAAATAGCAGGTCAGGTTTATTGCTCACTGTCACCAAGAAAAAAAAAAGCCAGTCAACTGCCAGACAAGCTATTATATTTATAGGATGATATAAATTTATATTATTTATAGCTCACACTCATGCGGACACATGCACAAATCTCAAATCTCAGATGTGGAAAAGAACTTCAGAGAGACAAACAAAGCTTCAAAGCCCAGTGAAACAGCGTCACGAGAGCTAAGATCACGGCATTGGAGCTCTGAAAGGAGGAAGAAAGGCCTACAAGAAAAGCACTTTGAAACAATAATGCCCGAAAATGTCCTAGATTTGATGAAATCTATAAATTTCTGGTACGAGGGACTTCATCACACTTTGGATAGGATCAGCTCAGAGGACACCATTGCAGGAAGCCTGTAGAGGTTCTGCAAAACAGGAGGCACCCAAGGTCACTGCAGCACCCACACTGCCGAATGAGTGACCGTACCAGAGTACAGCCCCTGCCCTCACCACCTGACTCACGGTGCATTCTGAGGCAGTCCTAGCAAACTCAGCCTACAGAGCTCAGTCAAATTTCAGGGTGTTTGGCTCCCTAGTTTAATCTCTGCATTAAGGATTAAAGTTTTATGAACGAAGCCTTAAACATCTCAGATAAAAATAAGAGCTTGTGGGGGGGAGAGATGGCTCTATAGCAAAGAGTACTGGAGGACCCAGGTTCGATTCCCAGCACCCACACAGTGGTTCACAGCCATCAGCTCCTGTTCTGGGTGATCTGATATCCTCTTCTGATCACCACAGTGACACATGTGGCAAACAGACATAAATGCAAGGCAAAACAGCCATATAATAAAAGCAAGTAATGATATACAATTGAAAGATGATGTAGGATCAAAACCCCTTGCCATTGACCTTGGCTTCTCATCAGTCCTCATTGTTCGCCATGATCAGAGTCCGGTTTTATCCCATGCTTTTTCAGTCACTGTCCAGCTGGCCTTGGTGAGCCCCGTGGTCCTGACATCCTTGCTCGTGTTCTCCCTCCATCTGCTCCTCATTGGGACCTTGGGAGCTCAGTCCAGTGCTCCAGTGTGGGTCTCTGTCTCTATCTCCATGGGAGAAGAGTGGGGGGAGGGGAGGGAAATGGGAGGCTGGGAGGAGGCGGAAACTTTTTTTTCTTATTCTCAATAAAAAAAATGCAAAAAACAAAAAATAAACAAAAAAATAAAGATGATAATAAATAAAATTAAAAGAAAAGAAAAGCTTTATTTTTCTGATTTACCTCACTTTATGTCTTTGAATGTTTTTCCTACATGATTGTATGTGTGCTACCTGTGAGCCTGGCGTCCTTGGAAGTCAGGAGAAGGCATTGAACCCATTTGAACTGGAGCTATGGATGGTTATGAGTCACCATGTGGTGAACCAAACCCAGGTCCTCTGAAAGAACAGCCAAGTTCTCTCAGAGCTGTCTCTGCAGGTCCTGCTACTTAGCCCTTGTCGATTTGTTGGGCTACCCTGCACCACGCTGAGATTCTGCCAGCAGAAAAGTCATGACCAGAGGAAAACCTTGCCCTAGTGATGTGGGAGTGTCATATATCAATCTATTGATTTCATTGGTTAAGCAATAAAGGAACTCCTTGGCCCTGATAGGTTAAAAGATAGATGGGAGGAGGAAACAGAATAGGATGCTGGGCGGAAGAGGAAGTGAGGTCAGACTCTGCTCTGCTTCCAGAGGAACCGGACAGCTCTGCTCTCTGGAGCAGAGACACCAGGATAGATGGAGGCTAGACTCTTCCCGGTAAGCGCACCTTGGGGTGCTTACACACGTCATTAGAAATGGGCTAGTCCAGGTGCGAGAATTAGCCTGTAAGGGTTAGAGTTCATGGGCCAAGCAGTTCTTAAATGAATACAGTTTGTGTGTTGTTATTTCGGGCATGAGCTAGCCAAGTGGCCGGGGTGTTGGGGACGCAGCCCCGCCGCTTCCTATTTCAACACCCTAGACTCTTCCAAATTTGGAGTCAAAATAAACCATTTTCTCCATAAAGCAAAATCAAAGCCTCAAATCATTCCAGATAATGGGAATTCCAGTCATATATAAACATATCTAGCAAATTATCTGCCAGGGCAGTTGCTTAGCTAGTCACTACTGGGGCGGAGGTGACCCACAGACTGGGCTGTGCGCAAGACCATAACAAACTTAGCACCCAATGAGGATAGAGAAACACAGGTGACGGTAGTGCAGCCAATGCTACTGAAAGAGAGACTTTAGCGCAGGAGAAATGAGTCCCTGCAAAATTCATTTTATTGTCAGAAATTCATTTATTATCAAAAGACATGTATGCACTAAAGACAGAAATACAATGAACGACTGAGATGATTCGGAGGCGCATGGAGAGGAGATAAGCAATGTTGGTCTAAATACAGAGGCAAACCAGGGCACACCACGTGCCAAGTGCCCGTATTAAAAATATAAAAGAGTGTTGACAAACATGGTGGCTTACACCTACAATTCCACCTCCACTCCCACGGTTTAGGAGATCAAGGAAAGAAGATCACAGGTGGGTTGAGAGCAGTGTGGATGACATGGTGGGTGATCATGGGGCTGCCTAGAATACAGGGAGAGACTGTATTAGACCACTTCTTCCAAGTCCATGATCCCACCAAAACAAACACAGAAAGAGTCAAAAAAAAAAAGAGCAAAAAAATTGTGGAGGAAAAACAACAGAAAAAAGAAGGACATACATGAGGAAACAAAAAAAAAAAAAAAAAAAAAACCAGGGGCAGGGAGGCTAGAAAGATGAGAATAACCTAAAATTAAACCATGATTCAGAAGAGTAAAAAAGTATACAAAGACAGCAACATCCAAACCAAGGACAATGCAAACACTGCAGTATTTTAGAGAAAAAACCAGAAATATTTAGCGCTTAGAGAGGGACAGAAACAATAATCCAGTTTCAGGGTCAGGAATGGCTCTCTGCAGAAGCTGGAGGTATGTGAGGTTCTCATGTGTGTTGGGGTCAAAGAAGCCCTTGGTATCATCACCTGGATCTGCCAGGATGCTGTTCATCTTCTCGTCAAAATAGCCACGTTTGTAGGCCACATCCACGGGCACACGGTGGCTGTGAACAGGGTCAATTACACCACCAGTAGCAATCTGGGCTTCCAGAAGGCGGATGCCATGATTCTTGACAATCAGTTCCTTCTGCATGGCCTGGAAGAGGGAGATCTGCTCCCCAGTGTAGGGGTCCGTGTAGCCGGTGACAGCGCGCTCAGCAGACAGCAGCTTCTCTTGGACCTCACCACCCACCACGCCTGCTGCCACGGCCTCCTCCACAGACAGTCTGCGGTTGTGCACTGGGTCGATGATGAAGCCCGTGGCCGCCTGGGCCTCCAGCAGTACCAGGGCTGTGCCGGGCCTCAGCACGCCTTTCCACATGGCCTGATAGATGCTCATCTTCTCCTGACGGCCAGGCTCTCCCCGGATGGGCACCAGGACTCCCGCGATGCAGCTGGTTCCTTCCAGGTAGCGTTTCACAGAGTCCATCTCTGTAACCTCCTGCATTGTCTTCGTGCCTTGTGCCAGTTCATGTAGGGTGTTTTTGTCTAATATTCCAGATGTGTGCAGCTCAGCTGCAGTCACCGTTTGTCTTAGGCCAGGGAAGGACACTTTGCTTAGTTGTTCTTCAGTGTCTTCTATGATCTTGGTGAGAATGGTGATGAGGTCCTGCAGAGCCATGGAACCAGCTAGGTGCTGGGCAAGGAGCTCCTCGCGGCGGGTCTCACTTAAGTACGAGGAGAATAGGACTTTCCACACCGAAACTGGCTGACCCTGGAACTTCCCACAGTTTACGCGCATGGTTGCAGCTCGCAGGGCTTGTTCCTGGTTCTTCCTGGCTGTCTCAGCCTTGTCCTTCTTCTTGCTCTGGTCTGGGAAGGTCCCTGATCTTTCTGTTTCAGTTTCCCTTTGGAGTGACACACTGTCTTTCAATTGTTCAGCCTCCTGTGTGTGTTCTGCCTCCTCAATGATAGTGGTGAGTCTTTGGGTCAGTTTGGGCAGAGTTAGTGTCCCACTGCTTAACTGGCCCATCAGCTCCTTTCTGGTAGTGCCACTAACATAGCTGGACAACATCACATTCAACAAAGGTACCTGGTTTCCCCGGAGATGGCCAACCTCTATTTTCATGGTAGCCTTGCCCAAGACTTTCTCTAGATTCACATATGGAGTATTGTCATCAGTCTGAGCCAGCATTGAGAGGAGGGTGGTGCTCACGTCCTGAACGGTCAGCCCACCAGCTTGGTACCTGCGCAGCAGATCCTGGCGCAGGCTCTCGGGCACCTCGCGGTAGAAGAGAAGCTCCCAGACAGAGATGCTCTGGCCCTGGTAGTCGCCCGTGCCTGGCGTCACTCTGGCCTCACGGAGGGCACGTCTCAGTTCCTCGCTCAGGTGGTGCACACTAGAGCCCTTTCCCGCCAGCCGCAGCATGTAGAACCCAGTCTCTGGGTCCCGCACACAGCGACGAAGCAGCTGGAGGTAAGTGAGGTTCTCGTGTGTGTTGGGGTCAAAGAAGCCCTTGGTGTCATCCCCAGGGTCTGCCAAGATGCTGTTCATCTCTTCATCAAAGTAGCCACGTTGGTAGGCCACGTTCACGGGCACACGGTGGCTGTGAACAGGGTCAATTACACCACCAGTAGCAATCTGGGCCTCCAGCAGGCGGATGCCATGGTCCTTGACAATGAGGTCCCTCTGCATGGCCTGGAAGAGGGAGATCTGCTCCCCAGTGTAGGGGTCCGTGTAGCCGGTGACAGCGCGCTCAGCAGACAGCAGCTTCTCTTGGACCTCACCACCCACCACGCCTGCTGCCACGGCCTCCTCCACAGACAGTCTGCGGTTGTGCACTGGGTCGATGATGAAGCCCGTGGCCGCCTGGGCCTCCAGCAGTACCAGGGCTGTGCCGGGCCTCAGCACGCCTTTCCACATGGCCTGATAGATGCTCATCTTCTCCTGACGGCCAGGCTCTCCCCGGATGGGCACCAGGACTCCCGCGATGCAGCTGGTTCCTTCCAGGTAGCGTTTCACAGAGTCCATCTCTGTAACCTCCTGCATTGTCTTCGTGCCTTGTGCCAGTTCATGTAGGGTGTTTTTGTCTAATATTCCAGATGTGTGCAGCTCAGCTGCAGTCACCGTTTGTCTTAGGCCAGGGAAGGACACTTTGCTTAGTTGTTCTTCAGTGTCTTCTATGATCTTGGTGAGAATGGTGATGAGGTCCTGCAGAGCCATGGAACCAGCTAGGTGCTGGGCAAGGAGCTCCTCGCGGCGGGTCTCACTTAAGTACGAGGAGAATAGGACTTTCCACACCGAAACTGGCTGACCCTGGAACTTCCCACAGTTTACGCGCATGGTTGCAGCTCGCAGGGCTTGTTCCTGGTTCTTCCTGGCTGTCTCAGCCTTGTCCTTCTTCTTGCTCTGGTCTGGGAAGGTCCCTGATCTTTCTGTTTCAGTTTCCCTTTGGAGTGACACACTGTCTTTCAATTGTTCAGCCTCCTGTGTGTGTTCTGCCTCCTCAATGATAGTGGTGAGTCTTTGGGTCAGTTTGGGCAGAGTTAGTGTCCCACTGCTTAACTGGCCCATCAGCTCCTTTCTGGTAGTGCCACTAACATAGCTGGACAACATCACATTCAACAAAGGTACCTGGTTTCCCCGGAGATGGCCAACCTCTATTTTCATGGTAGCCTTGCCCAAGACTTTCTCTAGATTCACATATGGAGTATTGTCATCAGTCTGAGCCAGCATTGAGAGGAGGGTGGTGCTCACGTCCTGAACGGTCAGCCCACCAGCTTGGTACCTGCGCAGCAGATCCTGGCGCAGGCTCTCGGGCACCTCGCGGTAGAAGAGAAGCTCCCAGACAGAGATGCTCTGGCCCTGGTAGTCGCCCGTGCCTGGCGTCACTCTGGCCTCACGGAGGGCACGTCTCAGTTCCTCGCTCAGGTGGTGCACACTAGAGCCCTTTCCCGCCAGCCGCAGCATGTAGAACCCAGTCTCTGGGTCCCGCACACAGCGACGAAGCAGCTGGAGGTAAGTGAGGTTCTCGTGTGTGTTGGGGTCAAAGAAGCCCTTGGTGTCATCCCCAGGGTCTGCCAAGATGCTGTTCATCTCTTTATCAAAGTAGCCACGTTGGTAGGCCACGTTCACGGGCACACGGTGGCTGTGAACTGGGTCAATTACACCACCAGTAGCAATCTGGGCCTCCAGCAGGCGGATGCCATGGTCCTTGACAATGAGGTCCCTCTGCATGGCCTGGAAGAGGGAGATCTGCTCCCCAGTGTAGGGGTCCGTGTAGCCGGTGACAGCGCGCTCAGCAGACAGCAGCTTCTCTTGGACCTCACCACCCACCACGCCTGCTGCCACGGCCTCCTCCACAGACAGTCTGCGGTTGTGCACTGGGTCGATGATGAAGCCCGTGGCCGCCTGGGCCTCCAGCAGGACCAGGGCTGTGCCGGGCCTCAGCACGCCTTTCCACATGGCCTGATAGATGCTCATCTTCTCCTGACGGCCAGGCTCTCCCTGGACAGGCACCAGGACTCCCGCAATGCAGCTGGTCCCCTTGAGGTATCTTTTCACATCTTCGTTTCTTTCTATCTGGTCTATTGTAGTTCTTCCTTCTTCCAGGTCCTTCAGAGTCTGTCTGGTGATGATGGCTGAGCTGAGCAATTCCTCTGCTGTTACCTGAGTTCGTAGTCCTCGGAACCATAGTTGCCTGCTTTTTCCCTCTTTGTCTGCAATCATTTGTAGAATAACTTCTACCACTCTCTGCAGTGCCCGGGCTGTGTCGCCTTTGTATATCCTGACCAGTTCCATCTTTTTCTCCTCCGACACGTACTCTGAGTTCAGCAGTTCCCACACAGACCGCCTCTGGCCTCTGTACCTCCCCACAGTCACTTCCACCTGCTCTGCCTCCAGGGCCCTTTTAGTGGCCTCATCTACATACTCCATGTCCTTTTTGTCCTTAACCACTGGGAACAGTGTCCAGCCTGACTTCTCCCCCCTCTGGCACCTGTCCTGCAGTTCCTGGTACGTGACCTTTTCTTGTGTATTGGGATCCACAAACCTTTTCCTCATGTGCCTCTGATCAGCAATCAGCACAACGGTGTCATCGCTCAGACAGCCACGCTTGCATGCTGTTTCCAGGGGAACTCGGTGGTGGTGCCGTGGGTCGATGACCCCGCCTGTGGCCACCTGCACCTCCAACAGCCTCAGGGCCTCCTCCCGCCTAACTAATTTCTTCTCCATGGCCTGGAACAGTGGAATGGTCTCGCCTGTGGCTGGATCTTTGTAGCCCTTTGCTGCCTTTTCTGCATTTACAAGCCTTTCTCGCAGGTCTTCACCCACCAGGCCAGCTGTTATGGCCTCATCCACACACAGCCTCTGGTGGGTACGGGGATCCATCAGGTACCCAGTAGCAGCCTGTGCCTCCAGCAACTGAGCTGCAAACCCTGCTGGGATGAGCTCTTCTCTGCTGGCCTCGTAGAAGCTCATCACCTCCTGGGTGAGGGGTGTGGCCACTCCAGCAATGCAACTGCTGCCTTCCAGGTAGGTTTTGACATGCTCCAGCTGGCGGAGATCCTGGCACCCTCGCTCCCCACTGTGAAGCGCGTCCAGGGTCTTCTTATCAAGGATTCCAGAGTTGAACAGTTCTGCTGCAGTCACGTCACCGTGGATGCCTGGCACCTTGAAGTTTTGGTTTTGCTTCTCTGTTTCTTCCACGGTGGAGGTGATGACCTCCAGCAGTTTGTCTAGGCCTATGTTCTGGGCTCTGTACTCCTGCAAGAGCTTTCTTCTCTTTCCTTCCGTAAAGTACTGAGAAGACAGCAGGTCCCACACAGACACCGTCTGGCTTGCAAACTTGCCTACGGACATCTGCACAGTTCTGGATCTCAGAGCTTGCCTTGTGGCCTCATCAATGTACGTGTAGGTTTCTCCCTTCTTGACAATTTCCAGCATGTACAGGCCTGTCTCGGGGTCCTCCACACAGCGCTCCAGCAGCTGCAGGTAGGTGAGGTTCTCATGCGTGTTGGGATCGAAGAAGCCCTTGGTGTCGTCACTCGGGTCAGCCAAGATGCGGTTCATCTCTTCATTGAAGTAGCCACGCTGGTAGGCCACGTCCACAGGCACGCGATGGCTGTGTACAGGGTCGATGATGCCACCCGTGGCGATCTGAGCCTCCAGCAGGCGGATGCCATGGTCCCGGACAATGAGGTCTCTCTGCATGGCCTGAAAGAGGGAGATCTGCTCACCCGTGTAGGGGTCCGTGTAGCCGGTGACAGCACGCTCGGCTGATAACAGCTTCATATAGGTTTCCTTGCCAAACATCCCAGCCTGGAAGGCTTGCTCTACAGTTAGCTTCCGGTTCTCCACAGGGTCAATGATGAAACCGGTGGCTGCCTGCGCCTCCATCAGCACCAGCGCTGTGCCTGGCCTCAGAATGTGCCTTCTCAAGGCCTCTGGGATACTCATCTTCTCCTTTGTATCCTGAATAAAGACCCCAGCGATGAAGTTGCCTCCTTCCAGGGACCTCCTTACACTGTCCATCTCTGTCACTTCCTGGACTGTCTTTTTCCCCTGATTGAGTTCATCCAGTGTCTGCTTGTTGATCAGCTGGGACCTAAACAAGTCCCCAGCTGATACCTGCTTCCGGAGCCCTTTGAAGGTGGCCTGCGGGGGCTGCTTCTCTGCAGCCTCCACCAAAGTGGTGACCATATTGATGACCTGCCGCAGGGCAGCAGCCCGCCCAGAACAACAAAGTGCCACCAGCTCCCGCCGCTTTTCGGTCCCAACGTACTCAGAGTGTAGCAGGTCCCAGAGTGACACGCTGTGTCCTTTGTACCTCCCCATGCTGATGGGTACCTTCATAGCCCTCAGTGCCACCGCAGTGTGGTCATCCACCTCAAGCACGGTGTCCTGGGGCAATGGTAGCAGCCACAGGCCAGTGTCGGCATCTAGCACGCAGAGTTCTTTGAGCTGCTGGTATGTCACCTTTTCGCGGGAGTTGGGGTCAAAAAAGAGCTTGTTTTTGTTCTCAGTGGCAGTCAGCACCTGGCTTGTCTGCTCGTCCAGGAGGCCAAGCTTGCAGGCCACCGCCTGGGGCAGGTGCACTCCGTGGGCAGGGTCCACAACACCCCCCGTGGCCAGCTGGACTTGGAGGAGAGGAAAAGCTTCACTCTTGGGCACAAGCCCCTTCTCCATGGCTTGCCAGAGAGAAAGGGAACCGCCTGAGTAAGGGTCTGAATACCCCATGACGGCCCTCTCCACCTGCTGAAGCTGTTCACTCAGCTCCCTGCCCACCAGGCCGGCCTTCACCGCCCCCTCCACTGACAGTCTCTGGTTGGTTAGCGGGTTGACAAGGAAGCCAGATGCCACCTGGGCCTCCAGCAGCTGCTGGCCCAGGCCTGTGGGCAGAAGGCCATCCTTTACAGCCTGAGCAATGCTCAGCTTGGTCCCTGAGGGCTGCAAAAGCACACCGGCCACACAACCTGTGCCCCAGAGACAGGCCTTTACAGCAGGCTCTTCAGCTACTTCAGCCGGTGATTGTACGCCCTGGGCTAATGCTTCCAGGGTCTCTTGGGTAATAATACCAGCATCTCGTAGCCAAATGGCAGGGACCTCACCCCGTGGGCCTGGCATGGTGATGCGGGCCCGGGCCAGGAGCTTTGCTGCATGCACCCAGCTACGCACGGTGTCCTGTAGCTGTGGCACCGAAGTCTTCCCAACCCTTACCTCCTCAAGGAAGCCCCTGCGCTGCTCCTCAGTAAAATGGCAAGAGGTGAGCAGATCCCAGAGGGACAAACCATCCTCAGTGCCAGCTGATGCTTGTAGGGTCTCCTGGATCTGGGTGTCAGTGGGGATAGCGGGAGCATCTTCTGTCAGGGGCAGGAGGTGAATCCCAGAGGCTTTGTCCTGGAGACATTGCTCCAGAAGCTGGGCATAGCTGGTGTGTCCCCGGCCATCAGGTGTAGGAAAGGTCTCAGGAGAGCTGGACAAGGCCACCTTCATCTCTTGATCAATGCAGCCCCGCTGAACTGCCACAGGCATGGGGAGGTGGAGGTGGGTTGTGGGATCAACAACTCCTCCGGTGGACACCTGGGCCTCTAATAGGCGGGTTGCTTGCTCCTTCGGGACAAGGCCCTTCTTCATGGCCCTGAACAGGGACACCTTTTCTCCAGAAAAGGGGTCTCTGTAGCCAGTGATAGAACTCTCTGCTCGTTTCAGCTTGCCATACACGTCTGCTCCCACCACTCCCCTGGACACAGCCTCGTCTACCGTCAGGCTCTCCGTACTGCAGGGGTCTGTGATGGCTCCAGTGGCTGCCTGGGCCTCCAGCAAGGCCAGGGCCACACCAGGCGCCAGCAGCTTCTGCTTCATGGCCTGGTAGAGACTGATTCGCCGATTGGAGGGCTGTAACAGCACACCGCCCACGGTGCCTGAGCCCCGAAGGTACCTGCGAACGTCACCCATGTGAAGGAGGGACTCTGGGCTGACCGCCCCTGTCAGCACCTGGTCTAGGAGTTCCTGGTTGATGATGTGGGCCTCTAAGAGCTGGTAGGCACTGACGTGGCCCTGTAGTGCAGGCACTGTGACGTCTGCCCACCTCATCATCTCTTTCTCCAGCAGCTGAGTGACCTGCTCCAGTGTGACCTTGTGCTGCCGAAAGCGCTGCAGTAGCTGCCTCCTCTGGTCCTCTTGGAAGTATTCTGAGTTAATGAGCTCCCATGCAGAAACTCTCTGCCCCCGGAACCGTCCATATCTCACTGATAGCAGTAGACTCTGGAAGGCCTTCCGAGTGGCGCTGTCTACCAGCTGGGGTCGTGTACCACTAAGGGGCAGGAGGTGCAGGCCTGTCTCAGACTCATGTACACAGCGCTCCAGAAGCTGCAGGTAGGTGAGATTTTCATGTGTGTTGGGGTCAAAGAAGCCCTTGGTGTCATCAGATGGGTCCAACAGGATAGAGTTCAACATCTGGTCAAAGTAGCCACGCTGGTAAGCCACGTCCACAGGTACACGGTGGCTATGCACGGGGTCGATGATACCACCAGTGGCGATCTGAGCCTCCAGCAGGCGAATGCCATGGTTCCTGACGATGAGGTCCTTCTGCATGGCCTGGAAGAGGGAGATCTGCTCCCCAGAGTAGGGGTCCGTGTAGCCAGTGACCGCACGTTCTGCAGACAGCAGCTTTGCGTATACGTCAGGCCCAATGACGCCAGCCCTCAGTGCCTCTTCCACAGAGTATCTCTTGTTCTCTTTGGGGTCAATGATAAAGCCTGTGGCAGCCTGGGCCTCAAGCAAAATCAGGGCAGTACCAGGCCTGAGGAGCCCCTTGCTGCGGGCCTCATAGATACGGAGGCGTTCCTGGGAGTCAGGCAGCAGCAGGCCTGCAATGCAACCTGTGCCCTGCAGGTACCTCTGCACTGAGTCCAGGCTCCCCACATCCTGGGCTGAGGTCTGTCCACGTTCCAGCTGCTCAAACTGGTCCTGGTTGATTATCTCAGCCTTCAACAGTTCTCCCGGTGTCACAGTGTCTCTCAACCCGGCAAAGGTGACTTTGGCAGTGGCTGCAGCCTTCTCGACAATGGCCTTCAGCTCAGCTGCCAGCTCCTCCACTGACAGGGCCCCCTTCTGGTGCTGTTGGGCAAGCACTGCCCTCTGTTTAATGGGCACTGCCTCAGAAAAGAGCAGTTCCCAGAGGGATACAGGCCGGCCCTGGAACCTCCCTACAGAGACGGAGGTTGTGGCCTTGCTCAAGGCCTGCCGAGTGCAATGATCAATAAATGCGGGTCCCTGGGGCTCATTTGCATGGGCTTCTCCCGGGAGAGGCAGGAAAGCAAGCCCTGTCTCTGGGTCGGTGACAGAGAGGGCCAGCAGCCTTTCGTAGTGAAGACTCTCATGTGTGGTGGGATCTGAAAAGCTCATAGCCTGAGAGAGATGCTGCCGAGTCTCTTCATCCAGGCAGCCAAAGCTCAGGGCAGCCTCCAGGGGCAGCCGGAACCTGCGAGCTGGGCATATAAGCCCACCTGTGGCCAGCTGGGCATCCAGGAGGCGCAGAGCCAGTGGCTTGTCCACAAGCTCCTTCTTCATTGCCTGGAAAAGGGGGATGCGGGAGCCACTGAAGGGGTCATGATACCCGGTCACTGCCTGCTCTGCAACCAGGAGCTGCTCGTGGAGTTCTGGGCCCACCACACCCTCCCTGACCGCCTCCTCTACCCACAGAGGCTGGCCCGTGGCTGGGTGCACGAGGGTGCGAGTGCCTGCCTGAGCCTCTAAGAGTTGCACTGCAATGCCCTTTGAGAGCAAGTGTTCAACTGTAGCTTGGAAGAAGCTCTTCTTGTGGCCTCCAGGCAATAGGACAACCCCCGCCAACCCTCCAGTGCCCTCCAGATAGCGCTGCACCTCAGGGCGTGTGGCCACATCCGACACCACCAGTGTGCCCTCCTGCAGGCCTCGAGCTGTCTCCTCATCTAGTACTCCTGCCTCCAGCAGCGCTGATGCACTAGCTGCGCCACCCAGGGTACGAAAGGTGGGCTTCAAGGGCAACAGGGGCAGCCCTGAGCTGGGGTCTTGCACACACCTACTCAACAGCATGCAGTATGGCAGCTGTTCTAGTGTGTTGGGGTCAAAAAAACCTGGGGCACCCATGCCGGGTTCTGACTCCACCAGGCTGAGCCATGTCTCCTTGTCTAAAAGGCCCTGCTGGCAGGCTACCTCGGGGGCCACTTGCACTCCTTGGGTTGGGTCCACCAGGCCCCCAGTAGCTAATTGAGCCTCCAGCCATCTCATCCCTGAGGTCCTGTCCACAACTTCCTTCCTGATGGCCTGGAAGAGGGCCAGCTTTCCTCCTCCGTAGGGGTCAGGATAGCCAGTAACGGCACGCTCGGCAGCCAACAATTTCTCCTTTAGCTCCAGTCCCACCAGATCCCGCCTTAGTGCCTCAGACACAGGAAGAAGCTGACCCTGGGCAAGGTCTACAAGGCCTCCAGTGGCTGCCTGGGCCTCGAGCAAAGCCAGCCCAAGCCCAGTAGGCAGGAGGCCCTGCTTCATGGCAGCGTAGAAGCTCCGGGTCTGCCCTGAAGCTTCCACATACACCCCAGCAATGCTTCTGGCTGTGGTAGGTGGCACAGCCTCCGCTGGGGGCCCAGAATGGGTGCTGGGTCCCAACTGGTGCTTCATGATCTTAGGGACAATGGGTTGCTCAGTGCCATTGGCAACCACGACATCAAGAGGAGGGGGTTGGCCGTTCATCACGGACAACTGGTAGCCCAGAACTTGCTTAAGGTTCACGTGTGACCTGTAGGGGATAGAAAGATTCAGTCAGGGACCCTGAGTGACCTGGCAGGTGGGAAAGATAGGATCATTGGGTCGGATACAGGTTCATCTAAGCTGAGCGAGTCCCGAATCTACAGCCAGATGTAAGGACAGGAGGACCCCTGGGCAGCCACAGAGGTTCATGGTAATCAAGGTTCCTCCAAGGGCATGAACAAATCTCATTGTTTGGGGGAGAAGGACCCAACCTGCAAGTCCCTTTAAGAGGGATTAAGACAAAGACAAGCTGCCCAAAGAACTCAGACAATGCAAGAGTCAGTATGGTCAGTTTTGAAATCAGACTGCACCCTACTTTAAATTACACCATACTGTACGAAACAGTGTCTTTCCAGGCTGCGCCTCGCCCTGGGAGACGCCATTCTACAATTTGGCTATTGCCATTTTGAGGAAAGTAGATTGCAGGCCCTGGGCGGGTCCACAAACAGAGCCGTCTGTCAGGCACCAGCTTCCACACAGGCTGAAAGGACTTATTCCCGGGAGTAGAAAGGAAGGCACCGTAAAAATTTATCAGCGTGAACTGCGGCTGTAGGTACACATGGGCGTATTAAAGCCATTACCAGGGAAAACCAGGCCAGAGAACTTATCAGACATACCCGTCTGAGAAAAGCATACAATTCCCTCACCCGGATCCTATAAAGTCACAGACGCCTAACACTGTGATGGCCTGGCCTTGCATCCACCTGGCACCTGGTGGTGCATCGAGGACCGGCAAGCAGAGGACCCCACAACTGTCATTGCAGCTTTAGCTTGACTCTGTCCCCTGTTGTTGATGTGCCCTGCTTGACTCCGGGCTCCTCTATCACTTTGTTTCTCTGGACCTAGACCTGAACCCACCATTTCCTGGTTTTGAACCCTGCTTTGGTTGTTCCCCACACAGACTCTATGGCTTTGTTCTCAAATCCTGACAGCAGCAGCTCCCTCCTGGTCTCGTTTGGCGTCTTATCAATGGCCTCTCGGAACTTCAAGGACTCTTCTTGAATCCAGCTGCAGCCTCTTTGAGTTGTGTTCATTCTCTAAGCCACACATATACATAGAAATGTATAAAGACGTTTACTGTGTGCTGGGTGAGAGGTTGCTTTAGTAATTAAGAGCACAGCATCTTGACTGCCTCCACCTTGGCCAGATTACTGGAGTCGGTGGGATTACTTGGCAAATTCTTTGCATTTTGAAACTGCTGAACCTTGTGAGGTTGCTGTTGTTCAATAAATTCTGACACTGTAGAAGGACACAGACATGCTTGTCCACATTTCTGGCATGCCATACTCATAACACACAGGGACCTGAGGCCAGCAACTCTCAGGATTCCCTGTGGATCATCTGGCCTCTACTCCAGGCCTCCAGGCTTCTAGTGATAGGGCTTGGGGCCTCCTCCCCAGTCCTGCCCTAGACTCAGAAGACGTATGTTGGGTCTTCATGCCTGTGTGTGTCCTGGGTCACTTGGCTCCAGGTCTCTAAGCTTCTGCCAAGACTTGGAGCTTTGGAGTTGGGCTGAATTGATTGCCCAGAAAGGCAACTCAAAGTCCTAACCTGCAGGACACGACTGTAACCTTATTTGGAAGCAGGATCTCTGCAAATGTAACTAAGATGAGATCATCCCGGAGGCCTGCTGGCTCCAATCCAGTGCACCTGGCATCTCTAGAAGATGGCAGACTTGCTCAGGGAGAAAACAACCAACCACCCTGCAGACTGAGCCTGCACGCCGTGTTCTTTCTTAATTCACAGCCTGAGTATTTCCGGAACATTCTCTCTGCTCGGAAGTTCATCCAGGCTGGTCCTTGCGTGAACTTTGGGAGGGGCCTGCCTACCCCTCCCCAACACACATTTGTATTGAGGAACTTAGCAGACAGACTTTGAATCTGGTCACTGAAGACAGAATCCTCCTGTACCAGGATTCTGCTCTGACTGTCTGTGTCCATTGAATCCAGAGATTCCCGGGCTGTTCTCGGCTCTCTATACCTGCAGCTTGAGCTAGCCAGTCCTGAAGTCATAACCTGCTCTGTGTACTTCTGGATACAGATCACCTCGTGCCCTTACACGTCACAATCCCACTTCTACTCTGTTCTTAAAGATGCGTCAACGGGTCCAGCTGCACGCTGGCTGCCCGCTGGTCCACCTCCCATTCATCTAAGACCTCATGGCTTTGCCATGGCACCTCGAAGCTCATCCCATCAATTCTCAGCCAGACTTCCTGCTCCTGTAGGCCCAGGTTTCTGCCCCATGTGCACAGGAGCCCTCCACACTCTCATCAGCTACCTCAAGGCTCCTCACCAATGCCTACACCACGTATGGAAGGCAGAAGGCAGGGAAATGGGAGTGAAGTTGGCTGGCTGGGCAGCATGCCCAAGGCAGGTGCATAGCCTATCCTGTGAATGATAAGAGCCTTTGATAGCACGTGATTCAGTAGAATAGACCTGACCAACTTAGTGAGGGTAACGGGCAGGTGGTCCCACTGATGCCTTCGAGAATTGCCCTATCTGAAGGCCTGCGCCAGGTTCAGCCCCTTGACATGATTGGGGGGAGACTCTGCAGGCTATAAAGCCATGACCCTTAGCGTTACTACTGAGATGGCATCCGGCCATAGCTTTGGTAAAAATGTCACTCTTTATTCCCTCCCTCAGGCTGGTCCTGAGCCTTCTGGGGTATCCTACTGCTAACCCACTGCTCAGAGTCTCAGGCCTCTGGCCTACAAGCAGGCAGGCACCTGGACAGAGTTAGCAGTGCCCACCACCAGCCTGCAGCAGAGTGCCCAGGGCCCATGCTGCAAGCTTCAGGGCCAACATACAGCTCTTTACGGGTGGGAGGTGCTTTTAGGGCACAGAGTGGGGCATGGAAAAAGTATATAAGACACAGATGGCAGGAGTAAGACCATGAAAGACTGGGAGTGGCCAGTTGAACAGCTGTGGTCGAAGACCCAAGCAGCTATATTGTTAGGGGCCCCAAACCAGAACAGGAAAGCGCAAATAGAACAGAACCACCCTTTGCCAAGAATAAGTCCCAAGTCAGGGTGGTCGGGGCTCTAATTTAGGATGAGTATCTTGATTAATATATGCCAAACTCTCAAAGCTGTAGACTCCCTTGATGCCCCTGTACTAGTGAAAGTGTCCCTCCTTAGTCAGCCTACCCACTGTAGGGCCAATGCCTTCTGTCTCCCACAACTTAGCCTAAGGAGGTAAGGAACCAACCCAAGAGGGTGGCAAGCCTTGACTTATCCATTAGGAAGGAAGTGGTAATGGCCCAAACACAGAACAACAGAGTCCAAGTGCTAGTGACAACCTAAGGAGGCTGAGGAGAGGCAGAGGGGTCTAGCCACAGAGAGTCCCAGAAAGAGTTAGAAGATCAGGTGTCCCTAAAACATATGAAGGACAATTGATAGGACCATGAGAGAACAAGAGCCCAATTCCAGTGCCTGGGGTACAGGTACCACCAGCCCCCAACTCCTGGGCAAGAATGGACGTCAAAAGAAAGAGGTGCAGCCCAACTCTAGTGGAGGAGAGCTCAGCCAGCCACTCACTGACCATGCTATCACAGTGACCTGGACCCTAGGAACACCCACCAGCTCCTAGAGCCTGAGAGTTACTGGGGTCCCATATCAGGTTGGTGTGGCCACAGAGATACTTTATGGTTGTCTCCTCATGTCTTTAGGAAGAACAAATTAAAGAGTTCCTTGACCATGGAGGCTCACTGGGGGAAGGCAAAGTGGTTAGTGAAGCTGGCTGTGGCCCTGTGCACTGTTCAACAGAAGCTGCTGGCAGATCAGATGTAGGGATAAGGTTAAAGGCACGGCCTAGATGTCGGCTCCCAGGTGACACCCTGCCGTCTTGGCACCATCCCTTGGACATAGTATTTCTAATTCTAAACCATGGATATCCCTAACGCTAGGTCCCAGTGCAGGGTCTTCTCCTGCCCAGAAATCAAGGCCTAGGAGCAGTGGTCTTCACACTGGAGGAGCGAGTTCCAGGGTCCATAGAGAAGAAATACTTGTGAGGGCAGACTTGATTGGCAGGGGGATTGTCAGAGGACCATGGATGTACTGGTCCTCATAGTCACATGGCAGCTGACAGTAAGTGAGAGAATACAGCTACTCTGGCCAAAGAGAAGACTCCCGGGGAAGGGGGCCCGGTCACATCCCAGTGATCCCAGCCGACAGCTGTAGTGAATCAATGGCATTTTTTTTTTTAGATGACTGGAAGAGGTAACAAATGACCAACAGGACCTGAAAGCCACAACAAGACCAGGCCCATCCCACAGACCTTCTCCTCCTGCACTTCCTCAGGAAGGTACCCAATGGTATCCAAGAGACTGGTTCAGAGGCACGGTGTGACTGTAGTAGACACAGGGCTGTCTGGACTTGTCTACTTTCAGGAACAAGCTAGACAGCATGGCAGACCAGCCTCTCCCACCAACCTGCCTCCTGTTCCCTCCACGACCGTGTGTGTCCTAAGACCACCCCTAATGACTCATCCCAGACTCTGCTTCCCAACACTGTGAAGCACTGAGTTGGGGGAAACCATGTGTGGTTCTGCCCAGGGCAGGGCAGAGCACAGGGGAGAGGCCCTAGGGAGGTGGAGCCTGGGTACTGTCCCTTGACATATGGCTAGATGAGCGTGGGGCAGGGGGAATCCAGGACAAGCAGTTCACTGTCCCGCAAAGGTGTGACACAGAGCCTTGGGACTAGAGTAGGGATGGAGACTGCCAGAAGCACATGGTCTTTAGTGGCTCCTGACCTGGACATGGACAGCCAGCCTTGACAAGCACGCTTTATACAGAAAGGCAAGGCCCGAGTGAGAAGCCAACACAAGCTGAAGCACGCAGCTCAAGTTCCCTGAACAAAGAGGAGATTCAGGGTGGGAAGCGACTGAAGAACCAGAGAGCAGGGACTCTGGGGAAGGGGTGGGGCTGAGAGACTGAGTTCTGGGATGCCTGAGGTGCAGCCAGTAGTTGGCAGCCACTCCCTGTCGGTTGGTGGGTGACCTTGGACCTGCTATGACTCTTTCTGGGCCCAGCCCCTTTCCAGGCGTGTGGAGGAGTAGACACTTGGCAACTGCAGTGGTTGCCTGGGAAAACAACCAGACACAGGGGGTCAAGAATTTAAGGAGCATACAGAGCTCCGTTGAGGAGGGCAGGAGTCCCAGGAAGTGTCAATAAGGGTAAAGGATCAGGGTCCCAGGTCTGGGACTGAAGCCTATGTAAGGGCTTAGGGGAAAGGTTTGGGGAAGGCAGGCAGCAGGCACTCCTCTGGCAGAGAGTGATAAGCCCTTCCTGCTTCTGAAGAGACCAGTGACAGGCTGCTCTAGCCGCCAAGAGGAAAGAGGGTCATTTCTGAGCCAGGTGGGTCAGCATCTCGAGCACTTCAGACCTCGAGCGCACCACCTGTCACCACACTGAAGAGTAAGCCCTCACCCCAGGCTGTGACAATGATAGGCGCAAGGGCCTTATTGCTACCGCTGCTGCGCTGAGCTAGGTCAGAACAGAATGAGGAGGCCAGGCTGGACAGACTCAGCCCAGCACAAACGGAGACAGAAAACTTGGCCTCTGCCCCATCGTGAGCAGCGTGAAAGAGGGCATCAGCTGTACCTTGCCCAAAAGACAGAAGTCAGCGATCCTTTTGTAAGATTGACATGACAAGCAAGTGGGGGTAGAGACACAGCCCTGCTCCCTTCCTTTTCTTCCCAGGGGCCCTGATAGCAGCCAAGGGGCCATCCCTGTGGCTGCTTACTCTGGACAGCTGGTAGCTCCTCCTTGGGTCAGCACCACCTCCCTCACCCAAAGAGGGCTGCCAGGAGCCTCTTGATAGTTGGCGTAATTGCCTCTGTCATAAGATTTCTCACCACTAACCTCACTTTTTGCAAGGGGGTACAAGGAATACCCCACCTGTAGGGCCAAACAGCACACCACAAATTCTGCTGGAACCTCCAGACAGCCCCCCATACACCCCAGCTGCATAGCAGCCTGGCAAGGACCTCAGTTTCCCCGTCTGTCCCAAGGGCTCAGGGGTTTCCTACCTCCAACCCGGAGCTCCGACTGCCCAGGGTGGTAAATGGGGCCCCGGGTCTCTCAATAAATCTACCTGGGGCCACTGGCCCCTGGCTCCCACAGGTGTTTCGGTTTCATTTCCCCCAACCTGCCCTTATGTCCCCACCTGCTGTGACAAGGGCTGGTGCGGCGTCCTCGGTCTCTTGGCTCCCTCCACACCCGAGCACCGCGCCACAAGCATTTAAATCTGCATGGCCCCTCCTTATGGTGACCCAAGTCCCTTCCCCATTGAGGGCGGTAGGCGGGGTTGAGGCCAGGCTGGACAGGGACAAGACAGGTGGAGTGGGCAGGTAAGCATAAACTATGGCACAGGGCAGGGCTACCTCTGCGCAACTTAAACTGGGAGAGGTTGCTGAGTTGCAAAGTCCCTCCCTTCTTCCCTCCCTATTACAAGTCACTGAAAAAGAATGCCGGGCAGGCGCTAAGTGGGGGTGGGGAGGCAGCCTGTTTCAGCCCCTTGGCTTTTGAATGGAGTTTGCAAGGGAAATGAAGACCTGTCAGAGAGAGTCCAGTTCCCCAAACTCCTTTTTATTGCGGAGAGCTAGAGCCACAACCCCGCCCTGTGTGCTGGGACTGTGTGGCTCCAGCTCCCGCTCGGTCCCTGAGCGAGTTCTGCCACTGTTTCTTGTCCCTCTCTGCTGGATCGTGAAGTCTTCAGGGTTTCTCATCAGTGGGCTGCTCCGAGGTTTTGACCCTGTAGGAACCGGGATCTCGGTGTTCTTTGCCAGTTGGCAGCCCTGTCTGAAAGGACTGGCCAGGCTTCACTTCACCATTCAGTTCCTCCACCAGGGCTCAGAGAAGGTTCTCAGTCCATCTGGAGGACCTGGCCCCTGGCTCTGAAGCCCATGCTAGCTCTCACCTTCTGAGGCGGGGGTCTGCTGGAACCCATTCGGATAGAGGTCCAGAGCCTCAGGGTGAGCACGTCAGGGGCTGGCATGCTAGGAGTCCAGCATAGGAACCTCTCGTGGATCTTCTGGCTGGTCCTCCCCTTTGCTGCTCAGAGATTCCAGGTTGCTGGGCTAAAACAGATGCCAAACGGCCCCTACCTACCTACCCCCAGGGCCTGGCGACTTGCATGTCCCTGCCTACCCCCAGCTCTCACCTCTGACAGGGTCATTTTTGACCAGAAATTCATCCAGAGCTGCCCAGCCACCTCCAACACGGACCATCAGGGCTCCTCTTGCCACCTGTTGAGCATAGGGGTGTCTAGCCTTCTACGTAGGGACTGGGGGCAGTTCCTGAGGCTCTGTCCTCCCCACTGTCACAGGCCCACACTCACACCTGCTCACCAAGGCTCCTTGGACCTTGAGCCTGCCTCTGGCCACTGACGCACTTGTCCCTTCCGTGTTCCTTGTTCTGACCGTGCTGTGTGGCTGTTTCTGGCTACTGGGGAGCCCTCGCTCCAACACGGTGGGGCGCTTGTGGTCAGGCCCACATTTCCCCCAGGTATAGCCCGGCCAGCCTTGTTCATCCCTGTCCTGCTGCCTAGTTGCCAGGAAGCTGTCCACAAGGTCCTACTGGGGAATGTTTCAGTGCTGTCTGTGGCTTGGGGTGTTAAGAACACCCTAGACCACTTTATTCTATGACCAAAGCAATACAGGTAGTACCCCTCAACACCGACAAGTCCCAAGTGTACCGTGGCCCCTTGCTGTGAGGTGTCGGGGTAAACAGAATATGTATCTATCTGCTCTTACCTGTCCCTGGTGGCCCTGTTCCACCTGTACCCACTGGTCCCTTTTCTCTTTGCTCCTCTTGCTATGCTCTGGCTTCCTCCGATTCCAACTCTCCGCGATGACGTCTGCCCACCAAGGCCTCCAGCTCTGTTCTGAAATCTGCCCCAGGAGGGAAGCCTTAGCTCTACTTCTCAGATCCCCAGGCGACTCCTGGTCAAGACTCCTCAGTGTCAGTACCTCCCTTGGGACTTGAGTCCAGCACTTTAGGCTCAGGGCCCCAGGCAACTCCTCCAGAGGCCAGTTCTGGGCTTGTAGCGCCTATGTATTAGGAAGCAATGTTAGGGAACTGGAAGAACCCATGCCCCAAATGGCCCACCACTCCTGAGCCAATGCCCCCATCCTCCAGAGCTTCTCAGCAGTCCTGCCCAACACTTAGGCCTTCCAGGTAACTCCTCCTAGAGATCAAACGGTCTCACAGAGGGTCCAGGGCACTAAAGCTAGTGTCATTAGGCTAACCCTGGATTGGTCCACAGTTACTGTGCAGACTAAAGTCTCCGGCCACTGGTCCCACCTTGGTCCCCGAGGGTTCAGCCTGGCTCAGCCTACAGGAGTACGAGACCAGTCTCTCTACAAGGTGGCCCACAAGCAGCAACATTCCTTCCAGGGTGTGCATCCTGGAGACGAGATGGGCAGATGTGAGCAGGGTAGAGGGCCAGCGAGAGTGGGGCGCGACAGCTGACAAACAGGCTCACCTCTCACAGGAAGGGCTAGACTCGGCAGCCTGGTAGCCCAGCAGCTCCAGCAGCAGGCCCAAGTGGCAGGTGCTCCCATAGGCAGTGTCTCCTCTCCTCCTTAGCCATGACACCACCAGAGTTTGCTGTCCCCATAGGAACTCCTGTCACCAGAACAGCCTGGTGTACTGTTGGCTCTCCAGGTAGGAAAAGCTAAATGGTGGAATCCTTTTTCCTCTGTATACCTCACATCTTGAGCCCTCTTCCTGACACCTCCCTTCACTTTATACCTCACACTAACCACCACACTAGCAAGAAGACCACACATGCTGGCCCAGTTCCCTCTACCCCTAAGCCTCCTTAGTATGAGGGGGGCAGCTGCACCCAGGATTGTGCCGATGTTTAGGGCAAGGTGAAAAAAGTCAGTAAAATCCTCCCCGTGGGTAAATAGGATCCACCACCACCACTACCACCATTCCCAAGTTGAAGCCCCAGTCTTTACTTAGAAAGAGGCAGTTGTAGAGTGAGGCATCAGTGTGACTGCTGCCCTTAAGAGGGATGGCATTTGGGGAGCGGAAAGACGGCTCAGTTGGTAAAAAATTTGCTGCAAAGCATGAGGACCTGAGTTTGATCCCTAGCATCTATGTAAAAAACAAACAAAACAAATCAGCATGGTAGCTCGCCGGTAACCAGCACCAAGGAAGCAGAGGTAAGATTCCTGGGACTCAGTGACCAGCCATCTAGATGAGTAAGAACTCCAGGTCCAGGAAGAGACCCTGACTCATAAATAAGGCAGGGTAGGGGGAGGCAGGGAGATAGCTCAGCAGTTAGAGGCACTTGATGCTCTTGCAGAGGACCTGGTTCAGTTTTCAATACTTAGGTTAGACAATTCATGATTGCCTATAACCCTAGCTCCAGTGGATCTGGTGCCTTCTGGTCTCTGTGGGTACCCACATGCATGTGTGCATGCACACACACACACATACACACATACATAATTAAAAATAAAATAATAAATCTTCAAAAGCAATAAGGTGGAAAATGCTTGGGAAAGATACTATTGCCCACTTCTGGCCTCTGCACAAGTGTGCATACATGCATACATGTAAACACGTACATATGCAAAAGGGGATTAAGATTTGGACACAAAATACACAGAGGGCACAGAAAGAAGACACTGTGCACATGGCAAGGAGAGAGGTAGAACAGACTCTCAGGAGCCAGCCCCATCCATTTCAAACTGTCAGCTTTCAGAACTTTGAGCCAGGGTACAACCACAGTTTCGACTTCTCCATTGGTGATAGCTGCTTCCAGTGGCCCAGGAAACCATCAGTCCCGAGAATGAGAAAGAAATCTGAGAACAAGCAAAGGAACCTAGAACTTCTGGGTGGACAGCAAATCTCAGGAAGGGTCTCGTGCATCCCAGCCACTCCTGTGTTATAGAAAAGGGGGCTAAGTGGAAGCAGAGCCCACTCTTGCCTGTTTGTTTCAATGCTGGACCATCCCAGACTGTGAGTCATGGGTAAGTCCATTTCTTTCTATCTTGCTCCTGACGAATTTTCTTTCCAGCTGTTGCATAAATGGGACTCATTCACAGCCATGCTTTTATCTTAATTAATAGCTCTCCACTTGCTGGAAAAGGCATGTAGATACTAGGTCACCCCTACCCGTACAGCCTGGAGGCTTGACGGTGCTGTCCAAAGAGGAGCTGCCCTTGCTAACAGTCAGGGATGGTCTGATCTCCAGCCCTGGCCCTACTGGGAAAGCTGTGGCCTTAAATGGAGATTTGGGACTGTCAGAAGCTGGAAGGTGAGCACGAAGTCATCACCAGCAATCTCCCCAGCTGGCTCTGTGGCCCCCACTTCCCTTCCCCGATGCTCTCCCCCATCACTCCCAGAGTTCTCTGCCTTGGTTCCTCTGACAGCAAACAGCAGTTCAATCTCAGAGTGTCCCTGTGGGTCACCTCTCCCCACAAGGGACTCTTGGGGATACCTTCCTCCCCTAGTTTGTCAAGGCACCTGCGAGGTTAGGTTCCAGTCATCCTCCAGCCTCAGCTCCTTCATGGCTGCCCGCTCCTTGAGGCTATACAAGATCTGCACAGCTGGCTCCCATATGGTCTTCAGCCCAGTGTCTTGCTCTCGAATCTCTAACCAGTGCCCCTCCAGGGGCTTCGTGTCTGCCTGAAGCACAGCTAGGAGGAGACATGAACACCTGAGAGCCCAGCCTTGGCAAGACCTTCACACTCAGCCTACCTTGGTTTCTTGAGCATAGGCCTGATCCTGCCCCCAGGCCGGACAGGGACTTCCCAAAGACTCCCAGGTATCCCCAAGGCCCTGGCCATGTACCTGACGAGGGGCTCTGATCCCAGATGGTCACTGTGGGTGCCGCTGCGTGACTAGAAGTCTCTGCCCACTGTGCCAGCTGTTCAAGCCGCTCTGCTAGCTGGGCCAGCTGGACGCTCAGCTGTAGGAGGAAACCGGCACTGTTCTAGACAGCCTTCACCAGGGACAGAAAGCACGTACTCCCAGCCACTCTAGCTATGCCACAGTGGGCTGCAGTCTCCTCAAAGGGCATGAGGTAGGTAGGCTGGAGGTCTTTCTTCTATGTAAAATCCAGGGGGTACAAGCACCTGCTTCTGATCCTTGAGCCCTGGGTGTGCTGAGGCAGACCCTTCCTGTCCAAGCTGGGCCTCTGAGCCTGCTGGTGGTGAGGCCCTGGAGGACGCTGTCCTCTGAGCATACAGCAGCTTCTGTTGGGCACAGGCGACTTGTGACTCAGTCAGCCTCACACGCTCCTGAAAGTGATCCAGCTGCTGTCGCACCAGCTGAGCTTGGTCGCCTGCAGCCAGAGGCAAGAGGCCAGGGAGGAAACACCGACACTGAAGGGGAACCGAGGGACCAGCAGCAGGGATGAGGGCATTAGAAGGGTCCTTGGGAACCATCAGTGACGACATCGAGGCCTTGGACTCGGGGACTGGGTTAAGGGTAGACGTTTCTGTGGGCTCCCTGAGCACATGCTGGTGACTGGGTGGGGACCACTTACTTGTGAGGAGCTCTGTCAGCCTCCTTCCCGTTTCTAAAACCCTTTCCAGGTCCTTGGCACATACCCCAACCCCTTTGTACATCTCCTGTGAACACACACAAGACACTGAGCCTGTGACAGCCCACACCCGCCCGCCCCGAGCCTGAGCCGTACCTGGGAATACGGTAAAGATTCTTCAGGGCACTTGGGCCCCAGCAGTAGCTCAGCCAGGAGCTGTTCACTTGGGTTCAGCTGTACCAGCAGAGCCTTGCAGGCCGCTTCAAAACTCTGGGCCGCAGGGACCAGCTGCTCCAGGAGTCTCCACCTTGGGGCGAAGATGGAGGAGCTGGCAATGGTGCCCTTCTTCCTTAGAACCCTCACAGTCCCCCCACCTGTGGCTTCACCTGGTTTCTGCCTGCTGTACCAGGCGGTGCCACTGTGTGCGCAGCTCTGCCGGGCTCCCAGCCTCTTGTAATCTTGGCTCCACGTGTGGTGCGCGCTCCCTCAGTAGACGCAGGAGCAGCTACCAGACATGGGGTCAGAGGGCTAGGGCAGGGTTCTGGGGTCCCTGCCCATCCTCCTCCCGCCACTGCCCCCTCTTTATTTCTTTTTAATCAAGGGGGATTACAGGCTGTGGGAATGTTAACAGGTATAGATATACAGCCCACCCTTAGGGAACAGATCTATTGTATTCAAGCACATGGTAACGACCATTAGTTACCAGTGACTTGATCTGAGGTTCAAGGGGGTAAAAGTGCCCCCCACTCCTGTTCCTATCTCCTGGTGGCCCTTGTACCTCCTGTTCCCGCAGCTGGGATGCAGCCAAAGAGGCGTCAGCAGCCAGGGGTCCCTGTGAGGCCTGCAGTTCCTCCATACCATCCAGCCAGCTGCACAGTGTGCCCAGGGGGGCTAGGGGTGCCTGCAAGAAGGATGTACTCACCTCATCTGACCTCCACTTGGACACCCCATACTCGAGAGCTGTCCTTCCTCACCTGGGCTGGCTGCCTTCTTTGACTGCGGGGCCCCATCTCCACGGCCTCTGTCACCACTGTCTCTGTCACCACTGTCTCTGTGACCTCTGTCACCTGGACAGCACGGGAGCTCCACCAGGCCCAGGGGATCCCTGGTGGAAGTGGGCCCTGAGGAGCTGCGGATGGAGAGAGATCCTCTCGGGTCCTGGGGCTGGTGTGGGTCCTGGGGCTGGTGTGTGAGCGGTTCCTCCTCTCCCCCAGGCAACCAAGCCTTGAAGCGGGGTTTCCCATGGTAGATGCTGAGCAGTTTGCAGGGTGTCCAGGACAGCAAGGGCAGCCCTACAAGGGCAGGAGGACCCAAGTCAGGACCAGGGGGTCCACAGGACCACCTGCCCCTACCCTTGCGCAGGTTGGTGCTGGGGAGACCCCCTGGGACTAGGTAGACTGCCCTGGCCTAGGGGGCTGGCGGGAAACAGCTCTAGCTCCGTGCACCCTACCTTCCTTCAAGCCACTGATCCACCAGCCCCAGCCAGTCTGGCTCCAGCACTTTTCTTGCTGTTTCCTGGGAAACCCAGTGCCCATCCTCAGTCATGTGGGTGGGGGAAGGGCTGCGGAGAGGAAGGGGCTTCTAGCTGGAGTATCTGGCCCCTCCCCCCTCGGTTCCTGTATGGAATGAGGGGGGTATTCAATTAACTCAATTCCCACCCAAGTCCCAAATAGTCACTCACATGGCCATAGGGCTGCAATCCCTTTGGGTTAGGAGGCCGAAAAAAGGGGGGCTTCTATAATGGGTACCAGGCCTGCCCTAGGGATGCCTAAGAATTATAGGAAATGGGGGCATCAATACCCACTTTAGGAGGGGACTGGAGAGTCACAGAAATTTCCCACAGCCATGCGGGCCCCCAGGGAGTGCTGGAACTACACCCTCTCCCAGTCACGTGGCCACTCCATGGTACTCAGACAACCCCCACCCAAGACTTCCTGGCACCCTAGACTGGTCTGCTCTGTTTCCAGAAACCTCACACTTGCAGTACCTTCCCCACCTGAGCCTGGAATGACCTAGCCCTCCTCCGTCCTGGTATCCCCACCAGAAAGAAAAGCAGGAGGGTGGGGATGCTCAGGGATCTCCACCGGTGCGGGTGTATTCATGGAGTCCAGCATGAGCCCACCGCTCACCCTCTACCCAACCATCATCGAATCTTCTACCAAGGAGTGGAGTTTGTGCTCAACAGACAAGCCAAAAGCCCTCAAGTGCCCATGGTCATGCTGGTCCCAGGCCCTCCCTCTCTACTGACAGAGTGACTTAGGAGTCCCCAGGCCTAAAGCTAGCCCTGCCCACCTCCACCCACCCCAAGCCTGTGACCACCCCCACCCCCACCCCACCCCGAGACCTGTTCCTGCCTGGGTTCATCTTTGTCATGAGTTTGTGTTGCTGTTACCTTGGGAACTTTCCATGGAAAATATTGGGTGAGGTGGGCAGGCTGGCAGGCCAGGGCAGGCCATAGACGCACAGTGGGTGGATGGCTGGTGGACGCCTCTCCCAGGAGGGCTTGTCTGTCTCACACCCTACGACGGCCCACCCTGTCCTGCCTGCTCTCTTTTCTCAGCCCCCACCCCAGGCCAGGCACCGAGTATATGCATTCCTGGGGGCTGGAAGGGCGTGTCCCAGCACAAGTCTGCCCACACCTGGCATGCAGACCTCACTTCCTCCTGTCTACCCTGCTTCTTTAAGGGACCATGGCATTCCTAGGAGCAGCTGCGCCAAGCAGTCTCTGGGTCATACCCCAGATTGGGTATGTAGTCTGGAATGCCCCCCTCCCCTTCTCTGCAGTCATCCTTGGGCCTCCATAGCTAAGAGGGATGAGGGTGACCCCTGCCTCTGATACCTGGCCTCTGACTTGTTCTGCTGTTCAAGGCAGAACTAGGTCAAATTTCTGTACAAATCTCCCTGTAGCTGCCTACGGCTGGGACAGCAGAGGCCCAAATATGGGGAGGTTCTGAAGCCTATTTGGGGTAGCCGCCACCTTTCTCACTTGCCCCAGGTCAGGATCCTATGCTGAGCCTGGACCACCCCTAGACAAGAGAGGACAACGCCCCCAGCAGGACCCTCCAACCTTGTCACCCTACTCTGATTCAAAGGTTCTAACAGTCACATTCCAGAGATCCTAGCAGCTTAGTGACCGCACGACCTCCTTTGTACATGAAGTTCCAACTATAGCAGCTAAGTGGATGACCAGGAAGGAGTAGAGCTGACCAAACTGCTCACACTCCTGAACATCCAGGCAAGGACAAGAGCCCACAGCTGTGTGACTTGGAGCCTCTCCTTGGCTCTGCCTCTGGGACCTCATATAGGCCTTTTAGAAGCCCCCTCCCTTGTACATTCACACTGAGATCATAGTACCCCACCCAGGGACCCCCTAAATAATGCCCCCTGCCCTGCTAGTTCCAGCCCTCAGGGGCCACAGCCCTGTCACTAGGGCAAGTAGCCACAAGCGCAGGGACACACATAGGGCTCACCGCATGCTGAACCTAGGGTAAAGTTCAGATAGTTCCAGACTACAGAGAGGAATACAGGCTGCAGCGGGTCTACAACACAGCCCAAACCGGTCCTGGTCGGACCAATTCCTACGAGTGGACACTCATGGCAGTTCTAATAGTGGCCAGAGGTCAGCCCGGACAGCAATGATAGGGATGAGCTAGCTTCCATACACTTATGGGACCATGGATCCAGGGAACAGTGATGCTGGCCTTGGGGGAATCTCTGCTAGGCAAGAAGGCTGAGGTAGCCAGGGAAACTGAGCACAACTGTGGCCCAGGGATGGATGATGGAGGGACTGTCCTGTGCACGGCTTTAGTATCAGGGTACCCAAGCCCCTGGAGGAGAATAGCAGGGGGAGGGCCCTAATAGAGCTGACTCAGAGATCCCTCTACATAGACATGAGTGGCATGGCTTTGTAAGATACAAAGCTTTCTAGGAAAGAAAGCACAATAAAAGAGTGTGGTGGCGGAAGGAGAATGGTCCCAATAGGCTCATATATTTGAATGTTCAGTCACCAGGGAATGGAACTGTTTGAGAGGATTAGAAGGATTAGGGGTTGTGGCCTTGTTGGATAAAGTGTGTCACTGCAAGTGGGCTTTGAGGTTTCAAAAGCCCATGACAGGCCCAGTTAGCTCTCTCCCTTGACCTGTGTGGATCAGGATGTAGCTCGAGGCTATGGTTCCAGCATAAGTGCCAACATAATCCCCATCACGACAATAACAGACAAAGCCTCTGAGCAAGTCCCCAGTTAAATGTTTCCTTTTATAAGAGAGCCCTTGGCCATGGAGTGTCTTTAGAGCAATAGACAAAGAGGAGAGTTTCAACATTTAGCAGTGCGTGTGTTTTATGATAGAGAAGCCTGGGCTGTTTGGGGAAACTGAGTCCAGGGATTTACACCCAGCCTGGGCAGCAGAAGCTCCTTAGCTCTTCAAGTTGGAGGACAAATGGCTGGCCACATGCTAAGTCTTAAGTACTGTGGTCCCAGGAAGGATAGGCAGAATATGGCCTTTGACTGATCACAGACGCAAACAAGGCTCAAAGACAACAAGCAAACAAATAAATGAATGAAAGAAAAATGAAAAGGGCAACTTAGACGGATCAGTCCTAAGCGGAAAGGAAGTGTGAGTACCTAGGGACCTTGAGCCAGCCTCCAGCCTGGTGAGCTAGAAACCGAGTGATCCCCAAGACCAGGCTGACCAAGATACAGGATACCCACCAACCTTTTACCCAAAAGTTCTAGAAAAATCTCATGGTCTCTCAGGGGTTTTGGCTGGGGCACCTGCTATTACAGGTTGAACTCTGTCCTAAAAGCTACCTATGTTCAACTCGTAATCCAAACCTGGGAGTGTGACCTTATTTGGAAATGGATTTTTTGCATTTGTCATCAAGTTGAGGTCACTAGAATGGGCTGCCGTCCAATACAAATGTGACCTTGTGAGAGAATGCGGTGTGAATATGAGACACACTGGCAAGAAATGACTCCACGAGGAAGCAGAAATGGGAAGACCTGCAACCTCCCGCAAGGTGCCTCAGGTTTGGAAGCGATCATCAGAGGTGGAGCGGAAAGAGTTCAACCTGAACTGCAGGGGGAATCACACACTAACCCCCAAGAACTGAGGGGAAAGAGCATTTCCATTTGCTTTGAGCCCCCAACCTACGGTCTGTTGCTATGGTGACCTCAAGACAACCTGACTGCATAGCTGTGAGCCAGTCATGATGACCAGGCAGGTGGCATCCCGCTGACTTAGTCCAAGTCAGGCTCTCTTTGGGGCTGGTGTGGCACCGTTACCACCTCATGCAACTCATCTGCAGTGAGAGGGGAGAGGTTCCCAGAGAGGGCCAAGTAAAGACTGTACTTGGGGACACAGACACCTGGCAGGTCAGGGCTCAAGGCTCCAAGCTAGGCTCCAGGACCAGCACACAAGGTTCTGGCAACGAAGAGAATTGGCACACAGAAGGTGAGCGTGCCAGCAACACCTGGACCATCTGTAGCGCTGCGGCTGCAGCATGTCTCGTCCCTCCCGCTCTCCACAAGGACAAGTCAACTCTATTTTTCCAGAAATCATGGCAGCCGCCACAGTTCTGAGGAGTCAGTGACCAGTAGGTAGATCCGAGGAGACTGCATGAACGCCTGTAAAGGCTGCCAGGACTCTACTACAACCAGTTCCCTGGGGGCTGCACACTGTTTCCTGGTGTTCCTGCCCTCGTAACACCCTCAGGCCCTGGAGATTTGCTTGGCAGGTGAATACAGATGTAACAAAGTGTGCCTAGGTTTAAGTTTCCGGGGAGGACAGAGCTCAGTGTCAGAGTGCTTTCCAAACAATTACAAGGTCTTGAGTTCAACCCCAGCACCCCCTTTCTCTCCAACCTCTACTGCCC